GACACGAACGGGAGTGCTCGGGATCGAACAGCACCAATCGGCCAGTAAAGAGACAAATACAAGATGCACTTAAAGCATAGAGTAATGCAACGAGCAGGATATTTGAAAATTGGAGGGGATGTAGGAAATGCAATCTGCGATCGACGACGGAGGTCGGATTTTTGAAGGAGACTAAATTCAACACGACAACATTACAGCAGACGATATTGCATCGTGAGTCACACGTAAAGATGAAGGAAAATCTGCTGCTGAACATGACACCAGTCCTATGTCAATGCGATTGGGTTGTAAAATGTTGAAGACCAAAATGTCTGATGCTGGCTCGTTACATAGGGTGGCTCGCAACGCCGGGAGGGACGTTATGTAAGAGAGAGAATTGCCTGACGACCCGCGCCTGTAGTCGGCTCCATTGCGTGACGACGTTGCGTGAGACTCAAGTTTGCAGCAATGAACCGGTTGGAAACGTCCTAGCGGCATGCGAAAGTTGTCGTGACGCTGCTGCTGAGAGATGGGGTAACAAATTTATAGATCGGGAACTTGCAAAAAAGGGTTATGTCGAGCCATTGGCGTTCACAACAGCCATCCTTCGCCAAAATTCGCTGCAGCGGGTCTCAAATCCGAGAGACCACCGCTTCCATGCGAACGACGAGATACGCCACAAATTCTGGCCAATCGCCAAAGAATAAAACAAAACCATGTTGGTTTGCGCTTTGAGGTGTGTTACTAGTCGCGTGAAACCGGGAAACACCTGCGGCTCATTGCCCCTACAAAATGCTCAGGTGCATGGTTACGGCGCGGCTCCCAAACATGTTTTGGGATTCGACGATGAAGCTTGCGTAGCCGAAAAGCAACGATGGGATTTCCGTCGACGACGTGCAATGTCAAAAAATAATGCCCCTGTCACCTGAAGAGTCAACTCCACGCGTTGTGGCGGCACGGGCACTTCTGGCTCTGCGACCCAACCGCTCTTGATCATTTCGAAGTCCAGCTGTTCCTCTCCTTTCTCTTCTTCATCAATTTCCTCGGTGTTCTCCTGCGCCCACGTTCTACTTCCTCCACCGTAGATCCCGAAGCCTCCGCTTCAGTCACATCGCTGATGTCCATCGTATTTTTCTCAACAGGTTGCGCTGGAAGGGTCATCTGCTCGGCTGCCATGGCCGTAGGCGATCTTCTGGTGGTCATTTCAAATTCTTCGCCAGCGGACCGAGTGAAGCTTTTGCGAGCTAGAGGGCTGCGGCCCATGCGCGAGGCCGTAGTCTTTGGCGTTTGTAGCAATCTGTTCGAGGACGGCTGTTGGCGCGGTGGTGTGACGGGCTGTGCTTGGTGCGGAGTCTGTTGCGCTCCAGGGTCAGATTGCGGTACTTGTCTCGTACGCTGATTTTGTCCTTGATGCAGCATGTCTACCTCCGAAAGGACCTCCGAAGCGTATTCGTCACTCGAGTAGTGTTTTCTGGAGGTAGGGAAGCCTTGCGGGTACGGCGCGCCGGCTGAGAAGCTGGGGTCTGACGAACTCGCATGGTGGGAAGCCGCTGGAAAGCCAAAGTGCATGGAGACAGACGAATCCGATGCTGCCGAAGCAGTAGACTGGTGACGGTGATGATGTGCCGTTCTGCTAAGTACCACGGGATCGTCTTGTTCTTCGAGGAATGCACCACCAGCCGGGCGATGCAGGGCTTGCTGATCACGGTACAAGGCAGCGTCCTCTTGTCCGAAGATGCTCTCGACGCGACGAGGCGTCGTCACTCCGTCACACGAGCTGTCTCGCGAGCGATTCGACTCTTCACTCAGCGGGCGGCCATTCTTGGCCTGAAGGTACCTGACTGCTTCTCGTTCACGAGGCGTCATGTCTGCTCGAAGTACACCAGAATCGTTGCTTTGTCGGAACCAGCCACCGGACAGCTCACTTGCAGGCGCGAAACGACCGACGAGATGATCAGAAGGCAGTAATGGCACAGGGTCATGATGTTTGTCGGGACGAAAGGTCTCTGGCACAACATTCAGCTCATCTCCTTGTGCTTCGGCTTCTGCGATGACCTCGCCAACAGTCGTCAGGACATCGACTTTTCCAGCATCAGCACGAGGGCCACCCCATGTTCGCTGACCTGCTGTAAATATGCCGTAAACCATGTAGATCCAATTGAAGAATGGATTGATGACGAACATGAGCGGGTACAGCATGATTTTGTAGCGACCCAGCTTCGCGCCAAAGTATAGCATCAACACCCAATTGAGGCCGAGTGATACAGCAATGAAGCCCACGGGCAGGTTTGCTATCTTCTGCGATGTCGTTAGGAGAGACACAACCATGATGAAGAAGAGCAGCGCAGTAGTTCTGATCGTGTTCTGAGCAAGACGTAACAATAGCAGCAGTGGGTATCGCTTCCACAAACGTATATCCGTCAGCATGCACACTTCGTTGGTGATGAAGCCCAGAAACCACCTTCGTCTCTGCTTGAGCAGGCTCTTGAATGTTTGGACTGCTTCGGTCTTGCAGAATGCGCCTGTATTCATTTGTATCTGGTATCTCTTTTGGGCGCCAATCATGAAAAGATGTGTCAGCCAACGATCTTCCCCGAGATGACATTTCCCGTAGTCGAACAAATCGTCGCATTGCTCTGCTTTATCTGCAAAGTAGTATTTGGCCATTTTGCGGAACGCGGAGAAGCGCAGGATCGTGAGTGCGCCAGGGAGGCAGGTCACGGCACCGCATCCGGATTCTACAGAGCGCTCAAACAGCTGGCCATGTATGTATTCCATATCCTGCAGGACTGTGAGGAGTGTATTCGTCGTCGTTGTTGAAGTGATCACGCCCGTCATCGCCAGCATATCATGTTTACTCCCTGGCTTGAGCTCCATCTCATACATGAAGTTTTGAATGCAGTACTTGTCGAGGATACAGTCTGAATCGATGAAGAGCAGGAAGAGATCATCGTTTCGCCGGATGTACTCGGCGTACACTTTATCAATGAGCTTGAATGACTTTTTTTGACAGCTCCTCTTGCCGCCGTGAGGAAATCGAGACACTGTGATTCGACATCTTCGATATTTGACGTCAATGCTCTTGGGAAACGTTTCGAGGGAGAGAGGTACGCCGAGATTTTCGATTGTACGTAGGTAGAGCTCGTTTTCAGCATCGCCGTCGAAGGATAGGAAAATGTGTAGACAAGATGGTGGGTACTCGCAATCGACGATGGAGTCGACGGTTCGTATGAGGATCCCAGGTTCTTCGTTGTAGCAAGGCATGATGATGACGACTTTGGGTGCGGAATACTCATCAAGCACCGTCTTAATCTTCTGATGGCGTCCCATATCGTGCGTGACGAGTTGATAGACGCAGAAAAGCCAGGGGACTGTGAGGAGGCCGGCGAATGACCAGAAAGCAAACCATTGCAGAATCGAGACCATCTGCTGAGGGAAATACTGAACGACTTGAGCAGGCAGCGGTAAAGTGACAACCATGACCGGCAGGAAAATGCAGCGCATGCCGACGAAGAATATCATGTTCAAGACGCACAAGATGCGGATCGCACATTTTCCTTCACCTGTGGCTTTTTGGTAGACTTTGACGAGGCAATAGAGGAACGCGAGAAGCCAGAGCATCCATTCGAGCAGGGCAACAAGCATGAAACTCCCAATGATGGCGACGTAGATGATGTCTTGAGTTGGCCATGGTGCTGTGATTGAGGGGATACCGTTGTCGAATTCGTCTCTGTTGAGGAGCATCGTCAAGAGAACGTCACTACAGCGTGACGAAAGCTTGGAGGTGCCTGCTGACGTTTGCAAAGGATCTATGCGCGTTCATCTGAACGACCAGCGGAAGAAGCGATAGTGGTGGTCGTAGGAACACATGTCCGAAATTGAAGGATAGGTGAGGCGAGAGAAGACCAACAGCACACACAACCGGTTTTCATTCACACCGAACCGTATCATCATGCTGTGTTTCATCGAACGTCCCGAGCTCGGGAGGGCCAGCACCTCTGTAGCTCTTGCAGAGTTGCACGGCATAAATCTTGTCAACCGCGCCCACACAGCGGGGCACCATCATCACATGGGAATTTTTGCAGCCATGGTTACTTCATGCTTCGATTAAAAAGTCGATCACTGCTGCCTCTTCGACATGGCGCCAGTCATTTTCGCTTATCGTCCTCATTCGTCCTCGCCTGTCAACAGCATGTCCCGGACATTGAGAAAGCCCAGCGTCTTACATCAAGTTTGAGCAGCTCATCATCGCACCAAAGTCGGATCAGCTCACGAGGCTCGATGGCAGGCTAATGACATGTCGCAACACGTCCATTGACACGCTCAACATTTGCGCCCTCAAAGCTTCAGGTAATTCCTCGAAAATCTCACGCAAAGCGCAAACACAGAGCCAGAAATCTCAACCGGACGGCGGCGTTGCCCTAGCCATCACACGATGCATCATGCGAGCATGATGATCCCCTCACCAATAGGGAATTCAAGGCCACAAAGCGCAGTGTAACTCGCAGATGACGACGAGCGGAGGAGGAAAGTGAAAGCAGGGCGACGCGTCTACACACGCGCATGATGCAGATCTTCGAAGCTTCGCGTCTGAATTCTCCGGAAGGGGTTTAGTGCACTTCTCATCCAGCTGGGATGCTACAGGAAACGAAAGCGCGCATCCATGTCCTCACGACGGTGGCAATGAAGACGAGACTTGCAGAACGGAGCCTGGCGCCGAAGTGATAAAAGGAATAAGAATATTGGAACGATAAATGCTTTTTCGTTTCTCTTGTCGGAGAAAAGATGATTTTCATCAGCGACTCTCATCAGAAAGAAGTGCAGCTAGATATATTCGTGAATATTTTTCCCAGAACATTCAATCGTCATCAAGGGCAAAGGTGGATGCACTCGCGTGCTGAGATCCGCTGGGATTCGTCGTCCTTATTCCAACGCATCGTTTCCGCCAGGCAACCGTCATCAAGAAAGGCCTATTCTTCATTCAAGTCCTCGTCTCCGCGGATGTAGCAATTGCGCTGCAACCTTCCTTACAGGTGACAAAGCGTCCACCGCGGGTGCGGAGGTGAAATTGTCTGCTTCCGGGACGGATTCAAGCGACATGCCATGCTTATAAAAATATCATCGTCGATCCGACAGCCCCCGGATCCTCTGATGCGCAGTGCAGCGTCCCCAGCTCGTGATCGCAACAGGCGCCGATTAGTGATTTCGTGATGAGGTGAAAAGTGTCAGAGTGTGACAACTTGCGAACCGTGTCGCAGTGTTCGTGGGATGCTTAGCTTTCCTGTCGTATCCAATAATAAAAGACCTGGGAGGCGACCCCCTTTGTGAGTTATCCAAACGGTCTTGCGATGGCGCCAACGAAGGATGCGCGAATGATTGCTCACTCAAAACGACTGCAGACATCGATGGTGCTACGTCGCGGTGTCCCGGCGCTATACTTGTGTGGCCTCAGCAGGCGACAGGGGCCAGGCTGACAAATCACCATCGTGGTATGGATTCGAGCATGGCGACGAGTTCTTCGGTCCAGTAGGACCCACTTCTGCGGAAGCGCAGCTGTATGCTAGTGTGGTGACGAGGCGACCCACGTCCCTTTAAGTCAAATTTGCGAACTTGTCGGGCTTGAATCGGCGTTTCTTGAGCTTGGTTTGAGTCCTAGATGTTGGTCGACATTCTTTAATCGACGGAATTGTCAACAAGGTCAATTCACAGTCCGACGCTAGTCTCATAAGACACCAGAGTCCTTGAGCGCATTTTGTAGGATAGTCTCCTTGACGGCAGTGAATACCAAGCGAATGTTGTTGGTATCGGTAGCTTGCGTAAGACTGGGATTTGTGGTCAGCCTTGATTCGTTGCCAAACACTCTTCTTCACTTACTGTGGATAGAGATTGAGGTGTGCCCGATTGACTTGATTGAATCTCCAGAGTAGGTATTTGGCTGCGCGATTAACGTCGTTTCCGCCAGTGTAATCCGGGAAATAATTCGCCAGGGGAGATTTGGGAAGTTTTGCGTGGAACAGGTCGACCTTGTTCAGAAATAGGATAATCGATGTGCGCATGAACCACCTCGAGTTGACGACGGAGTCGAAAAGAACGAGTGACTCCAGCATGCGGTTCTGGGTAAAGGCCGTCAGCGCGAGGAATCAAGTAGACATCTGTTCGGTGATCGCATACCTGGCTGCTCTCTTCCAGGAGGACCTGATCATATTCGCTCAATGCGACACAAAATATTATCGAGGTAACGTCCTCGAAGCAGTGGATCCACTTCTTCCGCTCGCTCCTCTGGCCGCCGACGTCGAACATACTGAAAAGGACGTCAGTAACAATTTCAGGATCATATGCTTTGCACTGAACATACTGAATACTTAGTTGGCCCATCTGGAACCGTGTGTCGTAAATGCCCGTTGTCTTGACTCGAGCATGTAGCACGTCGGCTTCCGTCGGGCTATAATCTGATCCTGCTATTCTCGTGATCTCGTCGAAGAAACTTTTCTCGCGTCAGCTGTCTGGGTCGCCGAATCGGCTTCGTGCTCGCGACCACGTACTATGATGCCGAATCCATCAGATAAAACTCATTCTGATGCTCCATGACTTTTGGTATGCTGGCGTCCTTCCACAAGCTCCTGATCGCTTCACCCAATTGTGGGTCCAAGGATTGCTGCGGGTCCGGATCGACGGTCGCTTCCATGATGTAGTCACAGTGTACCCGGTTCTTCTCGTCTGTCACCTCCACGTCAAATTGTCGTAACGCGCCAACCAGTGCCTTTGCAGAATCGACGATATTCTTGAACACGGTTTGCCGCCAAAGTTGTAACTCGTGTTCTGAATAGCCATTTTGGTGAATGATTTTCATCTGCTTCACTATTGTACTCTTGCCGCTCTCTCCCGAACCTATCATAAATATCAGTATATGTCCATCCGTAACCTCTTTGTGATACGTCATCCTCTGACGCCGGGAAACACCCACCAAGCAGTAATAGCTTGTGTTCTCGCCGTAGCTTCTTTTGGTCCTCTTCCAAACTCCGATCGATCATCTGACTCCTCTTCTTTGAACTCGGCTCCTCCCCAGGCGCAGTGCTGCTTACGCAGCCCCCCATCTTCGATCGAATTGAGACGTCTCGTTCCGTAGGAAAGATGGACGAGTTGCGCTGCCAATCCGAGCTCCGCGCTCAGCCCAGAGGAGCTCCAAAATGCACCCTACTTTCGAGGAGCGCAATTGGCGAGAGAGCTCCGCCAGCGTCAGCGGGTTTGCCTAAGTCCGGCGCAAGTGCAGTGTCCTAGCTTTGCTAGTAATCCGAAAATGATGTTGTGGAAACACGGAGTGATTTCCTCCGTCAGGACAGCTTGGCGCTTTTATCTCAAGGGTTGCAAAATGTGGTTCAATGATTGCTCCGGGCGTAAGGACATGCGCAGCAGGGCCTGAAAGTAGTTCGTGCTGGTTGAAAGTGAACTCGGAGTTATTGGTTTTGTTGGCGGAAGTGATGGTCAAAGGAAAGCCAGAGGTTTTTTGGTGAAGATGACGGCGACGTTGGCAGCTTTGTCGGTACAAGACGTTACGCGATGTGGGATATTAGATGATGATGCGGTCGTGCCCGGTTGGAATGGTGATGGTCTGGGGTGTGTCGCTGTTGTCCACTTCAGATACCGTACCGGCTCGTACCAGTGCTCGGGGAGCGCAGCACGGGCCTCGGAGAGTTTGTAGGCCAGATTAACCCCAAATTCAACCCTAAATTCTTGTCTCAAATGTCACCATCAGGCTAGGATTTAGACACAGCTGGGATAGATGGTTTCAAGTCTCAGAAGATGACGTGAAACAAAAATGTCAAGTTGCGTTGGCAATAGCAACTCATCAAAGGAGCTGCGCCTTCGGGGCATTCAAAAACTCACGAACCAGCCTACGCAATACCGATGGGAAGATGCTTTTCATTCTCCAGCTTATGCCACGAGGTTCCCGAGCCGAAAGCAATCTAGTCATGCCGATCTCTCATGCGGCGGTCTATCGACCGGGTCAGTCGACTCGCAATGGCGCAGAGAGTGGAGTTCTCCCGTAGAATCGTGAAGAGAAGAAAGAGTACGGCTAATAATAGACAAGATCATCGTTCAGCCCTGGAGATTCCCCAATCGTGTCTCCAGCACATGTCCTCTTCGGAATAATAATGTCAGCATTGTCGAGTGCGACGCAGCACAGATCACACGACTAATAACAAAGTATGCTGTCAAGTATACGCAAGGAAGTATAGTACGGCGCGGAGCATGCCACAGGCCACAGTCACGGCGAGTGCTTTCTGTGTTTCTTTGGGCTGAATGTGACATCCTGAGATCATGCAACTGGACATGAAACACGGCATCCAAATCAACAGTAGCAAAGAGAGGAACTGGGTGGTTGCTATTACTAAAATGGAAATGTGTGCTGGTTGGAAATATATCTCATGCTCGTTCGCCAGCGGGACCTGTCCATGCACGGCACATATCTCATAATTTCTCGTCATTATAGCAAACCCGACGAGACATGAGACGTCTGATATGTCGAGTTGATCAGTGGCGTAATGTGCCTTGACCGCTCCCACAAAGTGCAACCCAGAACGCCATCTGACCTCGTGTCACCACGTGGAGAAGATTTCTTTGTTGTTCACAGAAGCCTCGCTGGCGAGAGAAGTACTGTCTATGGCCACGGCAAAGATGGGCGGCAATAGTTGCACGGCTCGGGATAGGGCGGCAGCAAGGCGTCAAAGGTCAGGAAGGCTAGAAATGGAGGTATGGATGCTGATGAGATCAATGGCGTTTCCTCTTCATCAGATTGACGCTGATGGGTGAGATGCGCGCCGCTATCGTCGGGTTACCATGCGCGTGCTTGGTAGCCACTGGGATGGCTCGAGTCTGTCTTTGAGTTTCCGGCAAGTTGAACGGGGCACATGTGATTGTGCCCGTCTGGTATATTCGCGTTGCGGTGAAGGCGCACGCATGTGCTTGTACAATGTACTTGTCGTCCTGAAGACAACGACAACCACAGGAGTGCTGGCCGCCCAGGGTTTGGTGTGGAAGCGTGGCCCACCTGGGCAGTGGCTGATGAAGAGCATGCGGCGCGAAAAGTTCACGAGCAGAATGCGGAGATTCGCGGGACAAACAGCGTAGTGAGATGGTGGAGTGATGACGTCACATTGATGACGGAAGTGCTAAAGTTGTTTAGGGCCTTCCGCGATCGATCGATGGAAACAGCGCAACTTTCCTCCTTTGATTGATGTGGTCCACGGATGTTTTTGAAGTCAAAATCCCCTACCACTGGGTCAGGCGGTACCTTTGGGTCAAGATTACTGGCGCCAGCGAGACAACATTTCGGTCCATCTAATCCTGATTGGGACAGCGACCTAGCATTCTGGTAGCAGCGAGGAGAAATTGTCCCGTTGCTGGGCTGAGGGGTTTTCAAAGGCAGACCTGGCTCCCTACCTACTTCGGCCTGAATTCCACCTCTGCCGTTGTTTTTCTTACTGTGCTATCTGGTTATATATTCGGGCCCACCATTATAGCGCTCAAAGCATGCGTATTTCTCACCTCGGATAGTGCACCGAGGTCATAGGTCATGCAAAGATTTTCTCATGCAGCTGGGTCGTGGAATGTTGGAGGCATTAGCATCGTCATGCATTGGGAATCAAGCATCGTCCGCGGATACAACGTTTGCACAGCTATGAGACAAACGTCGCGCGGCCTAGTCTCGAGTACAAGGGAGAGCTGGGTGGTAAAGGCTAGAGAGCGTGCAAATGTGATGCATTTGTTCTGCATGGAACCTTGGAACGCTTCACCAATGCCGTCGCCGTCGTCGAAACAGCAATCAACAGATGATTACGTCGCTCCTCTGATGATAACACTTCCGCCCAGTCTCCCGCCGCCGATCCTCCTCCTCCGACACGTCTTCCCATCTGCGCATCAGACGCGTTCACCGTGACAGTGGCCCCGCACCGACCGCTCATTTGTTTCGACGGGTTGCTGCTCGGAGACTCTGCGCGCAGTTCTATATTTTTCTTCCTTCGTGAACGTGGTGATACTGATGCACAACGAGGTGCATGACTCGCTGGAAAACCTCCAATTTTCCCACTCGTGCCCCTCGTCTCCCGCCGGAGAATCCTGCCTGATTCCAGCATTTCAATGACCAAAGATTGAGAATTCCCCGCTCGTCTTCATCACAATAAAGCATGCGAATGTGCATGAAGAGGCGTGGAATGTCACAGCACATTTCCTCATGCGCCACGTGCTGGTGAAAGATGTGCGGATTTATCCGCGTGTGTTATTCTGCATTTGGTGCCAACCTTGGAACCTCTGGTGTGTGTCGAGGAGGAGTGGTAGTCGTAGCGCTTCCTCTGCAAGGGCCGCAGTCCGGTGTCATCTCGATCTGGAGAGTCCATACACACATGTATGCTCCGAGGCGGGGGGTAACACTCAGCGTTACCATTCCCATCAATACCTCATACACCCATCCTTTCGCATCTCTCCTCCCTCTCTTTCACACACACACAAACACACGCACAATTCACACGCGCTCTGTTGAAATCGTGAACAGGAAATTGCTGCACACACATTTCCTCCCGATAACAGCGATCCTTGCATATAAACCGACAGAGTCCGTCTGATAGGCGTCAACCGACAAAATGGCGGAATTCGTGCGTGCGCAGATTTTCGGCACCACTTTTGAGATCACCAGCAGGTTCGTAGGCCATACACAGAGGGACCTCTTGGCCGTGGAGTCAAGCGCTGCTCAAGAAGGGACACTCCATTGACAATCTGTGGCAGATATTCTGATCTGCAACCCGTTGGCATGGGCGCCTTCGGTCTAGTATGGTAAGTCGGCGAGGAATCTTTGAGATGGATCGCAGACGAGCATACACTAATGTTGATATTACAGCTCGGCGAAAGATCAACTCACCGGCCAGGCTGTGGCTGTCAAAAAAATCATGAAGCCGTTCAGCACACCCGTTCTGTCGAAGCGAACATACCGAGAACTCAAGCTACTGAAGCACCTCAAGCACGAGAACGTGAGTTTTCAAGAGTCAGAGGAGGGGATAAGTCGTGGGCAGAGACTGACCGGCTTTCACACAGGTCATCAGCTTGAGTGATATTTTCATTTCACCTCTGGAGGACATGTGAGTCTGCGATTGCCAGGCCATCGAGACAACGTAATACTGATTTGCGTCCTCACAGCTACTTTGTGACGGAATTGCTCGGAACCGATCTCCACCGACTCCTCACTTCGCGCCCGCTCGAGAAGCAGTTCATCCAATACTTCCTTTACCAGATTCTTGTGAGTACCACTCGATGGCAACTACGCGCGCGCACGAGGCCTGACATTTACAGCGTGGCCTGAAATACGTGCACTCCGCCGGAGTTGTCCACCGTGACTTGAAGCCCTCCAACATCCTTGTCAACGAGAACTGCGACCTTAAGATCTGCGACTTCGGTCTTGCCCGTATCCAGGACCCCCAGATGACTGGCTATGTTTCAACGCGATACTACCGAGCGCCGGAGATCATGCTCACCTGGCAAAAGTACGATGTGGAGGTGGACATCTGGAGTGCGGGCTGTATCTTTGCGGAGATGCTTGAGGGAAAGCCATTGTTCCCCGGCAAGGACCACGTTAACCAATTCTCCATTATCACCGAATTGCTCGGAACCCCTCCAGATGATGTTATCAGCACCATCTGCAGCGAGAACGTGAGTCGGACAGTCAAAAAAGGGAATGTCGTATCGGACGTACATTGATATTGACTGGCATACAGACTCTACGATTCGTTCAATCTCTACCAAAGCGCGAACGACTACCTTTGAAGAACAAGTTCAAGAATGCAGACCCACAAGGTTAGTCACGAGGATAAAACGCGGATGAATATAGCTAATGAAAGTAGCGATTGAATTGCTCGAGCGTATGCTTGTCTTCGACCCCCGGAAACGAGTCAAGGCTGGTGAGGCGCTTGCCGACCCATACCTCTCTCCCTACCACGACCCCACAGATGAGCCAGAGGCCGACGACAAGTTCGATTGGTCATTCAATGACGCCGATCTGCCAGTGGACACATGGAAAATCATGATGTATGTGCAAATTGTTTCCTTGCCTCGCGAATAATTACTGATCTAGATGATTTTCCAGGTACTCTGAAATCCTCGACTACCACAACGTCGACTCAGCGAACGGTGACGCAGTAGAGAACGGAGGCGTTGGACAAATTTAAAGAGACGCTCGATTTGCACCCGATAAAATATTGACAAGCAGCTGCATTTCGGCACTTTTACCCACATTCTCTCATTCGGCACGACTTCTCGGAAAGGAATCACGATCATGATTGATGGCGATGAGCGCGATCTGGATAGACCAGTGGATCATGTGGGTGGAGTGCACTGAAGTCAGTGTAATAAAGCGAGTCCATGGAGGAGGAGAAGGAGGAAGAGGCGATGCATCACATGAGCCGTTGCACGCAAAGTGCACTCTCGTTTCGCCACGGCGAGCGAAACACGACAGTCTAGATACATATGATTGTTTTTCTATACGATGACTGAACAATAATGATACCACGCTCTCTCCACAGTGGCTATTTGAAAGTGGCGGCATCATGATAATCATAAATTGTGGCGGTGCGCTTTTTTGGCTTGTGATGAATCTATCAGGCCTCAGGCTGCACTCCTCGATGGCCCCGGGGGCTTGTTTGGTCGCCGCTGTCGGCCACGGGAGAGTGGGTAGATTCGGCTGGCGGCGAAACAGTTCTGGTATCCCGAAAGTCTAGCAGCGTATTGCACTGCAGCTCGAACTTCTGCTCGAACAACCCACACACCACTCAACCAACATGGCGGCGGCACCTCTACGAAGCGGTCTTCTCCGACAGACGGCGACATGCTTGCGTCAGAGTCGTGCCACTTTCTCCCTCGGTCGTCATGCATCTACCCTCGCTGTCCTGGAGCAAAGAGATGGTAAATTGAACATCAGCTCATTGGCCTCCGTCTCAGCCGCACAGAAGCTTGGAGGAAGCATTCACGGATTTGTCGCCGGGTCCAACATCAAGGGAGTCGCGGAGGAGCTCGCAAAAGTAGAGGGTCTCGAAAAGGTCATTTTCGTGGACAATGGCGCATACGACAAGGGCTTGCCGGAGAACTGGGGCCCTCTGTTGGTCGAGAACATCAAGAAGGGAGGATACACACACGTCCTGGCCGGCCACTCAGCGTTCGGCAAGAACCTCCTCCCTCGCGTCGCCGCGCTCCTTGACGTCCAGCAGATCTCCGACATCACCGCCATTGAAAGCGAGGATACCTTCGTCCGACCTATCTACGCCGGCAACGCCATCCTGACCGTCCAGTCCGCTGATTCACCGAAGATCATCACCGTCCGAGGAACCGCCTTCCAAGCAGGCTCGACGACGGGCGGCTCCGCCACTCTGGAGGAGGGCGCCGACCCCAAAGTCGAGTCGACCACCGAATGGATCAGCGAGGACCTCGCCAAGAGCGACCGACCCGACCTCGGCAGCGCCGACAAAGTCGTGTCCGGCGGCCGCGGCCTGAAGTCGAAGGAGGAATTCGACCGCATCATGCCGCCGCTGGCCGACGCCCTGGGGGCCGCCATCGGCGCCAGCCGTGCGGCCGTCGACTCGGGATTCGCAGACAACAGCCTGCAGGTCGGACAGACGGGCAAGAACGTGGCGCCGCAGCTCTACCTGTGCGCGGGCATTTCGGGCGCGATCCAGCATTTGGCGGGAATGAAGGATTCCAAGGTCATCGCGGCGATCAACAAGGATGCGGATGCGCCGATTTTCCAGGTCGCGGATGTGGGACTTGTGGGCGATTTGTTTGAGAAGGTGCCGGAGTTGACGGAGAAGCTTAAGAAGTAGAGAGGATGGTGCATGTGTATTATGGAAATAATCAATTACCTCACGTATTATTATTGTCATGTTCTTTTACAGATTGTTACCTGATGGTGGTCTATTACGCAAGCAGATCTGCATATTGAATTGATGTTTTTCTGCTCGTTTTTGAGGATTTATGTTTTCAAGACAGGCTTGAGCTGAAGATGGTGGCTTGCATGTGCATTGATCTCGTAGCTACAACTCGTAGCCTCATGACTGACAGCACCAATATCTTGTCAATACTCATCACACGAGATGTTGATCGCCAAGTTGACGACGGTGAGTGAAACTGTTGTTCCAACTGCTTCGCATATGCAACCGACAGACGCCGAGGAGAACAGTGGTTACGAGACTGCGAGATTGCATCATTGAGGGAAATTGCCGAACCATGGATCTCTCTCCATGAGACGCGCGTGGAGTTTGATGACAGGCCGGATGAAGCAAATGGGCGGTTCATCACTGTATATACAGTGATAATGAATTCGCATCGTCGACCAACCACACACGACCTGCATGCATGCGTTTGAGTCCAGCTGCACCGCGCGCGCCAACTGGTGGGAAATAGTCAGAGCAAGGCGGCTTGGTGCGCTGGCACCGGCAGATCTGACTCCACATGGGCGCAGGTGCAGGCAGGTGGTGAGCCCTCTGCTCGTGCGAACGTCGGCGGCGGCGGCTCGGTAGATTTTTATATTAATCTGCTTGACATCTCGCGAATTGGCTCCCGATCAGCATATATTGTTTTCACGTATAGATTTTCGTTTTATACTCCCGCTCTTCTCTTCGCGATATCACCCTCGAACATCTCTGTTCCGACCTTTCGAACGGGTACAAGACATACTGACTACTACTTTCAAAAATTGGCCATTCTCTGCAAGAAATATGGTCCACCAGCGTTCCAGTGCATCTCTCATTGTGTGAGCTTCACAGGGAGTTCCTCCATCCTTGTGATCCTGCGGGAGAGCACGAGTCCGCTCCTTTCGATTATAAATTCATAGACGACAATCGATAGAAGGAAAAGACATCCTCATCATGTCGTCCGCCGCCTCCACCCCGCCCCGCTCCCCCTCCGTCGCCGCCTCAACCTTCACACCGCTCGTCTGCGTCGTCGACTTCCACCACCACCGTGGTCCGGAGATCGAACATTGGATCGGCGCCTCTCCCGACAGTGACCCCACCACCCAAAATGACTGGCATCTCATCCCATACATGGCGCTGCCGGACGGCGCACACCAATCAGAAGAGGAGTTTAGCTATTTCAGCCTGGTACACAAGGCGTCCACGACGGAGACCGGACAGGACGTCATTCCCACCTCGGTGTTTGGAATTAGCTGTATGCACCAGATCGATTCGGCGGGATTGCTGTACCGCCCACCTGAAGTCACCCGCAGTGCAGTACAAAAGGCTGTCGTGGCGATCACGGACAGACCGCAGAATTTCGGCGCGCTGAGGGAGAGGTTGAGTGTGGTGACGAGTGCGTGGTTCGCGCAGAAGGACTTCCGGGACATCGATATTTTGCAGGTGGGTTAGTGGAATCCCTTAAACTTTCTGGGAGGATCGTTTTTAAATGAGACATCGGGGACTGACGGAGTCGTGGTATTTATAGCGCTTTCAGGAGAGCCTGGTGAGGGACAGTCGGCAGGAGAGTGATCGCGACCAGTACTTCGGGTTGAGTCTTCGCGAATTGATACACACGTTCAAATGGCAGACGCTGGTGCTGTTGAAATGTTTGCTTCTTCAACGAAAGGTAAGTTGACCCTCAACTGATGGTGGTTTGCATGGCTTGACTCTGACATTCTCCCAGATTTTGTTTTTTGGATCACATTGCGAGCGATTATGTCAGGTCCAATTCTCCCTAATATCGTTAATACCGGGATTGATCCGGACGTTACAAGACTGCGCCGACCCTCACATGGACCGCAATGCCGAAACCCGGCAAAAGCCCGATTCGGTACGAACGAGCGATCGCGCGTCTGTCCTCACATATGTTGGATTGCCACTCCAGCTCTTCGGCAAGGGCAGCTTCTTTGGGCCTTACACACCTTTGCAGCAACTCGACACCATCACCGATCTTGAGACGAAGAGCTACGTGATCGGTAGCACCAACAGCTTATTATTACAACATAAGGAGAAGTATTGCGATGCATTGCTCAACCTTGACGAGAATGTGGTCAGCATACTTGCACCGAATCTGAAATCTGTCTTGACGCTATCGGCGTCAGATCGGAGATGGATCGACTTTCTCACCCAAGCCGTTAATGACACTTGGGATCCTAGCGATCCATCAAGACCTACCACCCACGGCTACTCAGGTAGCGAAGAATTCATTCGATTACAATTCGAAGAATATCTCATCGCATTGTTATCCTCCACCAAGTATCATCAATATCTCGCAGCATGCAAAGACACCGGCGCGAAAGCCATCGGCACCGGCATCGAAGGCGATCCCGCCACCGACTTTGCCCTCCCCTTCATCGACGCCTGGCAACAATCGGAAAACTACACTCTCTGGAACCGCACGACAGACGACCATCTCTTCGACATCGTCGAACCCCGCCATCCCTGCGCCGGCGGCCTCACCATCGACGACGTCCAACGCCGCCTCGCCGCCCAAGTCGCCGAACTCCACCTCGACGAACGCTTCAACCAAACCCGCGAAGTCGTCGGCAAGCGCCTCGCCGACGGTCGCGTGCAGGTGACCTCCGCCCTGAGCAAAGTCTGGACGGACATCGAAGCCATGCGCGAGGCCCAGCGGAAACGCGGCGACGAAGCTGCCGCAGCCGCAGGCCAAATACAGAACGAGAACAAGAGCCCTACCTCGCCCTCGGCGGATCAGACACGATTCCCGAAACCGGATCTCACCGTGGCGGGCGCGACGGTCGTCGCGGCGGGCCAGAAGGCGGGTTCGTTTTTCAGCTCCTGGGGCTCTTGGGCGTCGGAGAAGAGGAGGTCGGGATGGGTGCGGTCGGCGAGTGGATCGGAGGTCCCAAAAGCAGCAGCGGTGGCGGCGGGCACTTCGTCGACGACAGCGGGTGCAGCGCCTGGTCTCGTCGTGGAGGAACCCCCGTTGAAAGTGGCGCTCGAGGAGGAGAAGATCATGTGGGAAGGGGAGATTTTGAAGGAGGGCCTTCATGATGATGATGATGGCGATGATGATGACGATGACGACGACGATGACGGTGATGATGACAAGAAACGAAATTCCAAGTCTGTAGAGGCCGTGGTCAAGAAAGAGGAGGGCAAGATGGAGAGTGCAGCGGATGAGGTCAAGACCACAGCATCGGCTCTGCAGGAGAAGGAAAACGAAAGCTCATGAGAGAGATAACCGAGATAATGAATATGATTCATGGCCTCGTCGAAAAATGCACGATGGTGATGTGCTCCTGTAATCCGCTGTCGTGATAAAGTTTCCGCTGTGGTGATAGTCAATCCTGCTGTTTTCCTCCTCTCCCGGTGTATCAACGGGGGAAATCAACAGATCCTACCGATAAGGATTGTCGTCGTCGAATTTGGCCTCCCACAGCCCCTTGGCCTCCTTAGTCTTCAGCTGGATCCCACGTAACAAGCTATACAAAACCCGCAACGTCGGAGCCGGGACCCCAAGTCTCTCCGCTTCACGGACCGGTTCCCCGACGATAGTCTCAAGCTCGATGAGATTCCCGCGCATTACATCCTGGCCCATACTCGGAAGATACGCCTTGTCCGCATCATCGATGCGGATGAACATCTCATGGACATCCTCCTCCAGCACCGCCCCGGCGGCTCGGGCGATGGCCATGATCTCCAGCATCGCCGGCCGGATCAGGTCCTTTATTATGAAGTGCGACATCCGCATCCGCCCCGTGTCCATCTGCAGGATCGCCGCGATCGAGTTGAAGGAGGCGTTGTAGACGAGCTTTCTCCACCGCGTGGAGAGCACGTCCGCGTCGTACTCCCACCTCACGCGGCCGCTGGCGTTGTAGAGATCTACGAAGCGTCGCGCTTGGAGCTCGGATTTCTGGATGGGAGGCTTGGGTTGGGGAGAGGAGGACGGGAATACCCCCACGAAGGCTTTGTCCCGGCCGGTGTGCAGGACCTTCCCCGGGCTGAGTTGTCGGCTGCCGATGAGGGACACGCCGGAGAGGATGGGGTTCCGTGGAAAGGCATTCTGGAAGGGCTTTTCAATATTGAGGCCGTTTTGGAGGAGGAGGATGGATGTCACGGAGGGAGTGACGGCGGGTGCCACGAGGTCGTGGATGCTAGGGGGTGGGAGATCGGGGATGTTCTTGGTGGTCACGACGAGATAATCGTAGGGTTGGAGGTTTTCTTTTCGGACGTCTGGGATCGTCTTGAGGATTTCTGTGGGTCGGAAATTCGTGATATCACGCCCGTGTTCGATTGAGTCGATGCTGAAACCTTCTCTCTTGACGACATCGTAGTTGGACCGGCAGACGATGCTCACGGCGGCCTTGCGGCCTGCTTCTAGGGCGTGGGCGGCGATGGTGCCGACGCTGCCGCTGCCGATGAGGAGAACCCGGGCTTTGTTGGCTATGCTCATTGTTGAGGTATATTCATATTCATGCTTGGTGGTTGCGACTGATCATCACATGTCTTGCAGGGCGGCATTGGCTATTCTCAGGCGATCAATAGGTAGAGTTTAGAGAAGCGCGGCTAGTGCCGGCATTGGATCACCACGATGATGATTGATGGATAAGATAACTGCCGATACCCTTTGTCTATTCAACATTGCTTTGGTGGGCACAACTACATGTTGGTCGCCAAAGTTGTAGGAACACATATCATAAGATCCCATTTCATCCCATGAGCCCGTCAATTGTTCCTCGTGAGAATGGCCTGACTCGCCGGCATGACACTCGGGGTACACGCTGAACTACACGTTCAAATCTCTCGCCTCCACGGCGATGCAACGACGCAACACACCACGATCATCGATTCGAATACGTAGCCCGCGATCCGTATTCTCCGCCCCGCCTCAGACATGCCTCGTTCCTGCAAACCACCTGCATTCGACAAGCGAAATGACCGGCCTTCTCCACCACAGAGAGCAGATTACGAAGCGCTCGGCAGACACGGGAAGAAAGAAGTGTCAATTTGCAAAGTCGCATGATGCTGCAGGAATACATGGGAATATGTACCTGGCTGGGTATGAAAATAACCAAAATCCCATCAGATTGGGGTAAGGATGAGTGATGGAAGAGGATAAGGTTGGCCGGTGGAGAATGTCCCGTAAGCGCCCAAGGGAGAGAAATGTGGTGTGTCCGTGCGCTTTGTTGACGACTTTTTCCGGGGGAAAAATTTGGGTAATTTTCGCCGAGGGTATAAACATCACGCGACCACCGCTTTTCTGAAGAATATCGCATAATAAGTGTAGAAAATCGAGGCATGCTTATCATGAGGTCTGAAGAGATAGTATCATTAACGTTCACAGTCAGCTTCGAAATCAAAATGCATTGATCCTGTCGATCCAAAGTGATCTGTCACATTTGCTTCCTGTCAGGATCACAGGGCAAATGTCATATTTTGCTGGGACATTGGCACGTTTGAGGTCTAGCGCACAGATCTCTCCACCAACCAGGACCGTGCCCTAGCTCGGATCCTCTTCCGATCGACTACATTGGGCACGCATTTATATTTATCGTCAGAAAATTGGTGCGGTGAGTGGCTTGACGACAACCGCCTCCTTCGCTCGCTCGCCCGTCCCGGTTCTCACGGGCATCGCACGAGCAAGTGAGAATGACAGCAAAGATGTCTCGAAGACGGCATCTGCCTGGACTAGCATGATAGCGAAGAAGTCTGTGATCAGCACGAGTTTCATCTCGTCTCTCAATAGCACGATACAGGTACAGTAAGTCTCGGCATTCATCTCGTCTGTGCAGAGATGAGATCTAGCATGATCAGCCGTTCGCCTCTATTCACGCTGCGGCACGCGAGCCAATGGCCGCATCCTCTACTGTGAGCGTCCTCGCTGTGCATATTCGAGCACTCCATTGGGCGCTTACCATACATCCATTACCCAAAACAATGTCCCTACATAATCCCAACTCTGGGTGACACAGCTACTCTTCACCTTTCCACCCTCTCCCGACGGCCCTGGTGGTCACTTCCGTACAACATCAATCATTTCCTTTCTCGTCGGTGCTCCTCCTTTCAAACCACGCTCATTCAAATCACACAAAAATTGGACAACATGCGTCACAGCTCCAAACACATCGTCTACGGCACCGAAGGTCTCGAAGTCGTCCACGACGGCCACCATCTCGCCTCCACCGCTCCCCAGGTCCTCCCCTATGGCTCCGAACTCGCCCAACGCGGCGCCGGTCTCGAAGTCGCCCCCGTCGGCCTGGAAGTAACACCCTACGGTTCCGAACAGGCACAACGCGGCGCAGGACTGCAGGCAGTCCAGCCGGGACTGATACTATGCGATGAGGAGAAACTCGGCGGTCTGGAACGGTCCTCTTCTTCATTATCTTCTGCCTCCTCGGATTCTGTGGGCAAGGAAAAGGTCCTGCCGCCAAGACCTAAAGATGGAAGGATCTGTGGTTTCAGGAGGAAGCCTTTCTTTGTCCTGCTTGCTTTTGCAATTTTCATGGTACTGGCGCTGGCGCTGGGTCTGGGTCTGGGTTTGATGTTTGGGTTGCAGAGGGCGGCGAATCCGACGCCTAATCCAGTACCTACGACGACGTCAAATCCTTCGACGATTTCAAGTATACTTACGACTACTGCGACGAATAATGCTACGATGGCTACTACAATGACGACCGCGACTTCCGGTGGTACTACTGCCGCAGCACCCACAGCTGCCACGACAACCTCAGCCGAGAAAATCCAACCCACATTCAGCGCATCCACATCCGCGCCCGCCTCAATCAAGACCCTCCTCCCCGTCGCCACGCCAGGCCCAAACACAAACCCCAACACCAACGCCAACGGACCGACAACATCCTGCCCGGGCTCCGACGGAACAACCTTCGTCCTCTCCGGCTCGACCTTCAAAATCGCCTGCGACAGCTCCCTCAGCGGACCAAGCATCAAGCCCATGTCTGTCAGCACGAAGCCTTCGTTCAACGACTGCATCGCCGACTGCGCGAGCATGAATTTCTTCCAGAGCCGTACCGACATCAATGCGGTTTACACCCTCGCCGCGATCAACGGGAACGCGGCCGGCTCGTGTTTGTGCGTGGGCGGCTTAGGCGCGAACGTCACGAGGACATTGGGGAATATGCCCGGGAGCGATGTCGCGCTGATTCAGTAGTCTCTTGTTGACCATACATTTTATGATTGTTCTGGGTGGTAAAATTTGTATAGCGTTGGCTCGTAGAAGCTCCTTTGATGAAAAGCAAAGTATAGCAAAGTAATGATACCCCCACCTGCGGCGTTCGGAGAGCGGAGAAAGCATTCACGAAGCGACCTGTCTTTATGGAATGTTATTCAAGTAGACCTTGCTGTCGGGACGAGGAAGACGAAGCGACGGCAGAGTTGTAGCAAAGGTTTCATTCGCGCAGATCATACGTAGGTATAGAATAATTTGTGGGAATCGCAACTCGCGCAGATTAGTCGAATTCGTCGAAAAAAGGAACTCATTGCATGACATATATAGATGATTTCCTTCGCTTTCCTCGCCGCCCTTGCTCGTGCTGAGAGCTCTCCGGAAACGGACCAGTGACAACCGTCATCAGGCGTTGTCTCATGTTTCATCACTTCGTGCTCGACGGGAACTCCGAGGAACCCCCTACTAGCCCATCGTAAATCGTGACATCTCCCCCACTGCTATATCCTCGCTTGACAATGACGTGACCATGGACTCATAGCGATTGTCTCTTCACCATCTGGACTTCTCATCGGCCGTCCAAGCATCTCCATTTTGTCCATCATGTATCTCATGTCTTCGGCCACCGATGTGCATCTACTGCGCCTTCTTAGGGGCAGGCTGCTGCGGGCCCGAGACATAGCGGTTGACATCGGTCTGGTCATGGACCTGCTTGAGGATGTTCTTGGCCGTCTGCCAGCCCTGGCGGACCGCGGGCGGGACGTCCTGGCGGTTGGCGTACTGGTCGCCGCGGGCGCCGATCTGGCGGATCATGCCCTGGACGAAGGTGCTCTGGCTGATGCGCGCGCGCAGGAACACGGTGTAGAGGACCAGGATGACCCAGCTGCCCCTGGCGAAGAACAGGGCCGAGAGGGAGACGCGGAACCACAGCGCGAGCTCGAGGCCCGCGACCAGTGACATGCTGGTGTCGTAGTATTCCCGCACGAAGCGCGCGATGCCTTCGCTCAGGCCGCTGGGTGCGGGCTTCTGGCCGGCGGCGGCGCCCGCTGGTGGGGACTGGATGGTGGGGAGGAGGATGCCGCGGGTGTAGGTGAGGACGTGGAAGATGCTGTAGACGGCGTAGGGAGCGAGGGCCAAGACGTACTGGCTGTAGAAGAGCCAGACGAGGGACATGACTGTTGGAGGGATTCTAGTCAGTTAAGGTTCTCATGTAAAATGAAGGGAGAGGAAGAGAGAAAATGTTCTCTCTCTGATGTGGTCTTCCTCCGTTGCAGACGTACTCAAATATTGCACATTCTCATCAGTCGCAAACGACAGCGGGCTGACGGGCTTTCCGGCCTTTTGACGAGCACGGAAGCTCTTGTAGACGACGATTCCATAGGTGACCGAGGCCGCGATGAAGGCGGTACGGTAGCTGAACTGCGCCCACCCCGAGGAGAATTTGAAGAAAGCGGCGCTCAAGGCGTATCGCAGGGTGCACAGGAGCAAGGTGACATGGCCGGCGAACCAGGCGAATTGGAGGGTCTGAGCGAGTTGGATCAGGCGGTCCTGGAGAGAGGCGGGCGAGCCGCCGGCGGCTGTGTTGGCCATGATCTGGGTGTGTTGTGGAAGATTTATTAAATTGAGCTGGTCTCGGGGCTGTAGGTGAAGATGACAGGAGGGAAGGAAGCGGTCGACAATGAGATTAATGTCGAGAGCTGCAGAACGAGACGAAGACGACGACGACGACGACGACGACGACGACGACGACGACACTTGCTGCAGGCGTAGGCGAAGGGACGAAAATGGCTGCGGTTTGGTGGGTGCAAGAGTCCGTGCGGGAAGAAAAGGCTCAACTTTGTGGGCTGCAGCTTCCTCCACCACCACCAATGTCACTTGTTCTCTACCTTTCCCTTTCCCTTTCCCTTTCTCGTCCCTCGCTGTTATGCACAGCGTTATACCTGTGCTGGTTGACCGTGCAGTCGACATGCGCGATTTTTCCAGGCCGTTTTGTTTCTTTGCTCATCGACAAGAAGATCAGAAGAAGGAATATGTTACAAAAAACGAATTGATTCCTCCAAATATACCGTGACAGTCATTTGCAACCAAAAAACATGCCCATATCTTCTCTGGTACTGTCTTCCTGGCTGTGATGGTATGTGACGTCAGCCCCATGACGAATGCTCCTTCCCTCGTGTGACGAATTTCCAATTTCCAAGGTTTTTGGGCAGACCAGACAGACGGACATGATGGAGAGTGCTTCCGACGTTCTACCATAATATCATCCTATACGTGTGGCAGAGGGACATGTACACCTGGGTATACGCGGATGGTACGGACATCGGGAAATGATCGATCGTCGGGTATCAGCACTCTTGGACGATGATGTTGCGACCAGTCTCCAGTTTTCTGCTGAGGGACCTCGGAGCTTCCCACCGCAGCAATTATATCACAGCAAAGCAGGAGGCAGGTCTGACCACTCTATCAGGTGACGACCGTGATATGCTCATCGATAACCCCTGAAGGCATGGTCTTCGCGCATCTCCTTTGAACTATCAAGCAGTATTGCAGTGTTGTTCATAATAAGTACAGGAATACGACATGGTATGAAAGAATGATAACCTTGGAATGATGACTGAAGCGGAAACCGGTCACTCCCGAACCCTAACAGGCCGAGAGCACACCTGGGCACCTGGGAAGAAAAGATGAGTCGCGTGCTCTCGGGCCAGGTTCGGGGGGAGAATTGCCGGCGCAAACGATGGAGAGAAGGCTAGTGGCCTAGCTACAGGTTTTAGAGAGGTTTTCTTTGACGAGCGAGTGGTAATCACACCGACCTCATATTGCACTGGAAAAGGCAGGTCGTGTGCGTGTGTTTCTCGAAGCTGCTCGTGCAAACCTCCCTAGATAAAGAATGCTGATGCCCACGGGCTGAGATCGCTCGCTGTCATTCGGCGGAAGACATGGCGGACGGGCGCGCGGGGCCCCTTGAAAACACAACCCATTTGATGGTGAAAGGCGACCCGCGCCACGGTGGTGCTGCCTGTGCCTGTCTGTGTCACATTCCGGGCGGAGGTGCGCACCGTCCCTCCCTAGGTAGTTATCAATTCATCGTCACCCACGCTGCGGCCAGCCAGCCCTGGATTGCGCTTGGTAATTTTTCGTCGAGGAATTCCTCCTCCTCTCTCTTATCCATTCACGACACCATGTGAAACACCACTCCCTCCAGGTTCACTACCTTTCCCACTCTCTCCCGACACCTGTCGCTGAGGAGTTATAGCCCTGTCGTTCTTACTTCCTTCGACATTGACTCCTCTTCAAACCTCGTCGTCACTCACCGACACTCTGCCCGCGGCCTCCTCCCGGTGCGGACAGCTCTCGGAACATCATGCGCCAGACCTGCATCTTCTCGGGTTCTTCACACCCGCAGTTGGTCGAGGCCATCTGTGCACGTCTCGGCTCGCAACCGTCACAGGTCGCGCTCAGGAAGTTCAGCAATGGCGAGACTTCCGTCGAGATCAGTATGCCTTCCCCGAGACGCTGCCTCGATCCAGCTCGCCGGATGCTCTGATGCTGATCACAACCTCAACAGAGACCTCCGTCCGTGATCAGGATGTTTTCATCGTGCAGAGCGGGAGCAGCGAGTAAGCATGATTCTCGACCAGCTCGCGACCCAGGACCGCTCGCAGAAACTTACCAATCCTCCCACCTTACAGGATCAACGACAATGTCATGGAGATGCTCATCATGATCTCTGCCTGCAAGGGCGGATCTGCCCGTTCCATCACCGGTGAGCTGCTGCAACTACGTCACATGACTCGTCCCTGCAGCCCACAGCGTTGACATCCGCTCGCAGCTGTCATGCCCTACTTTCCCTATTCGCGTCAGTCGAAGAAGAAAGCTCACCGAGGTGCCATCACGGCCCGCATGCTGGCAAACCTCATGAAGGTGGCCGGCGTCAACCATGTCATCACCATCGATCTCCATGCGTCACAATCCCAGGGCTTCTTCAAATGCCCTGTCGACAATCTCTTTGCTGAGCCGATTCTCGCGCGATGGGTGAAGAACTACGTACCAGATTGGCAGGACTGTGTGATCGTCAGCAAGAATCCGGGCGGGACAAAGCGAGTGACAAGCCTTGCGGACAAGCTTGGCTTGAGCTTCGGTATTGTTGGCACTGAGCGCAAGAGATATCATGGTGGGGACCGCTCAAGCATGATGAACTCCGTCATGTACGGTTCTGCCATTCTTGAGCGCCTGGGTGGAGATGGCACCAACGATAGCCAGTCCCTTGTGGAGGAAGCTTTCGAGAGCCGCTTGCCATCGCCCGAGCGACGACCAGCAGAAAAGGATATTAATGCACCGAAAGAGAAAGATTGGGCGCCATCCGGAACTTCCAGCCCACGGTCCAATGGCACACATAATCGCATATTGCCCATTCGAACCAATCATCGATCGCGCTTAGGGAATGTCGAGGGCGCATCGAGCCCGCTCGCCTATTCTAGTCGTCCCGATTCACACGATGGCACAGAGGGTGAAGAGAAAGAAGACGAGAAGGAAGAAAAAGAAGTAGAGAAGGAAGGCAAGAGTGACGGACCCGAGTTGAAGCGAAGTCAGACCGCGTTGGGAACGTCCTCAACATATGCAGCGCATCAACGTGTAGACGAGGACGGCTACGAGGAGCCCGAGAATGAGGATGATACCGACGAACTGGCCCGGGACGTCATCACCGGTCGTCTCATCCACGGTCACATCGTGGACGATGATGCACCTTCTCCAGCCTTTTCTGCCTTTGACCGACAACGTCAATCCAGTGACGACGAGCCGCCGGATTTGATGACGCAATCTTTCATGTCGACCACCTCTTCACGCTGGGGTGCAGCTAACCACAACAACGCGCTCGGTGGCACTGGAGACGCCACCGCCTCCGACGAAGAGGAAGAAGAAGCGCTCGCCAACCCTCACCTCGAAACCACCGTCACCTTGGTCGGCAACGTCCGCGACAAACCCGTCATCATCGTCGATGACATGATCGACAAAGCCGCCTCGTGGATCGCCGCCGCCGAAACCGTGGTCAAGCGCGGTGGCGCCACCAAAGTCTACTGTGTCGCAACGCATGGCCTTTTCGGCGGCAATGCCCTCGCCGAACTCGACCAGTGTGAGGAAATCACCTCGGTCGTCGTCACGAATGCTTTCCCCATTGATGAAGAGCGTCAGAGGCATAACAAGAAATTGACCGTCCTTGACGTCAGTGGATTGTTGTCCGAGGCGATTCGTCGGAATCATCACGGAGAGAGCATCAGCCAGCTTTACTGGGCTGCCGATTGAGCGGTCAATTGGCTTTCAGTTTCGCAGATTGATAAGTCCGTTCGCGCATGCCCGCATTCCTTCAAGAAGCTAAATACCCTGGATTACAAGCTCTCAAGCTTGAGTGGATCCCACAAATCTGGACAAGGCACCTTCGGACCCGGGGTCATGTTCTCAACTCCCTCTCCGTTCTCCAAAACTTCACAGCATGAGGCGTGTCTATTGACTCATTCGCGAGTCCGCTTCGATGAAGGCACACGAATATCACACGTGAACGATCCCCCAAAGATGGAGAATTTCGGCGTCTCTCCGTAGGAAATGTTTACCTCAAGAAGCAATGATACATTACCCCTCTTTCTTCCTTTCTTCTCCTCTCTTCTTCTCCTCCATCCCCTTTTCTCCTTTCAAATCAATTGAAGGCAGAACAATCAATCCAGCGTCGCAGATGTCTAGCATCTGCCCGAGCCCGCATCATCACTTTTTTGGCGGTAGTTTGGAACGGAGCGTTGGTAGATCTCAACACATTCACACAGGAAACTCTGTTTCCGCGCCCCTCCCTCTCGCTCTCTGTCTCTCCGTGTGTGTGTGTGTCTGTGTGGACACTGTGAGAGCGAGGGGAGCGGGGGGCTAGATGGTCTTCTTCTTCTTCGTCTTCTTCTTCTTCTTCTTCTTCTTCTTCTTCATGAGATTGTTTCCCTTTTTTGGACAAAGAAGTGGGGGGGGGGGGTGAGGTTGCTTGTTGCCTTTTGAATGATCGGAGACGGACATCTTCCTCTTCGGCTTCTCTTGATCTCTGCCTTGCGGCACACAACGCTGGAAGGATTACCCCAAGGAGTGAAGAAAGTTTACGAGCTTGGATGGCTATCCTACGTTGCTCATTGTCCTTGAAATCTTGGTCCTCGCATGTTGTGTTTAGTGTGACCGAAAGAATTGGCTCCTTCCTTTCTATTGATTCTAATGTTCGTTTCCATCATCTATTCTCTATCGGTGTTTTCAAGTGCTGTCTACTTCTATCTCTATCTCTTTTCTAGTTTCCCATCTTTTCCCTCCGAAGAAAGGTGCTGAAGTCCTGTGAGAACGGAAATGATCGCAGATGAACGATGGTGCTACATGGTCGCGCAAAGATGTACGCCTTTGCTTTCCTCGCAAACGCAATGAGGAACAACAACGACAATGGGGACGCTTTCGCGTGCTTTTCGTGTTTCAGATCTCAGAGGATCTTCGGAGGTGGGCCACAATGTTTCTGTTGAGATACCGCGCTGTCGTTGGGTGTATATTTCACTTTGCGCTCGTGAAGGTCGGAAAGCACAGTGGAAATGATCGAGGCAGCCTTCTAGGGGCGTTCTCCACATATCTGCGAGTTTCCCCATGGCGGTGATTTTGCATCAGTTGGTGGGATTGCCGGCTCGATATCTTGAGTGAAGTCGGGCCGCATGTACTCTCGAGCTTCAACTTGCGGACAGGATCTTCTCGACGGAAAACTCGGGTTCGTTTATTCTGTCCTCAGAACAACAGTCGAAGGCGGGATGAGCTCTTCAATCGTCGCTCGCGGTCCTGTTCGACTTTCTGCTCGAGTTCATGTGCGAGCTTGTGGGTGATGTATGGATCTGGGTCGCCCGGGCAGGCCTCGAGCTCGATGCCCGTGGCGCTTGTCACTCGGCCGCATGGGGCTCCGAAGGCGATCTGTGGAAGAGCGGAGAGGATGGCGGTCATGAGGAGGCCGTTGCTGAGTGAGAGAAACCTCATTTTGTGAGAGATAGCAATACAGACGAGAATGAGGAAAGACTGGAAGTAAGTTTTGAAGAAACGAGTTCTCTCGAGATGAGGACGTTTCTTGGGAGAGCTCCGAGCATTTATGGAGAGTTCATCGTCCACTCCATGCGTTTCAGAGGATCGCTGGAGACAGACCTTCCACACGATCCGAACTTAGGTCAAGGGCTTGCCTTCAGCGCCTGCTGCATCGATGGGCAAGTAAACTTCCTACTAGAGTGTTTCATCAGCCAGCAGGCCACGTCTTGCTGAGTGCCATGATTGCTGGATGGCGTCCGCGTCGCTCATCCGTCAAATACTCCTGGAACACCGCCATCCATGCGGCGTCTTGAGGCGCCTGCGAACCAGTGGCATACTGGCATCTCTATTATTCGGAACATGTGTCAGAGCGATCGAGTGATTGGAGCCTCGAGAGCGCTAGAGAAAACGTCGTTGTCGCGGCACTGCTGTAAGGCATCCCTCTGGACCCAACAGGTGAGGTCGAACTCGGCCCGCAATTGGCGACGTCAGCCTGGCGGACCCAGCCCAATTTGGGGCCGCCTGAGCATGTTGAAGGTGATACGCCATGTGTGTCTCTTTTATTTGCCGACATCAGCATCTCATCAATGTATTTTTAGGGTGGCAGTAGCACGTGGGCGATGAATAACGCAAATACATTCTGTCCAGTGTCGCCAGAGCCGTGTGTTTGAAACACAGGGCCGCTGACCCGGACTTGGACTCCTCGACTATACACCTTGTTTGCGGCACAGCTACCATGACACGAGCTCTGTTTTCTCCCAGGAATACATTGCAGAAGAGTTATGGTCTCGCCGCCACTATGTGCTTGACTTCTCAATGTAATGTACATATTGAAGCCGACTTCCCTATTTTCAAGAATTTCTTCATTAACCGGTATTAAGTAATAGTAATTACTAGCCTCCCAGCTTTTCGTCATTCATCAGTTAGGAGTACAACAGCAAAACGGGCGACACCAACCAATGCAAGGCACACATAGAGACACCCCCCAAATTATGGCCTCCTCTTTTTGTTTTACTCCAGTGCCGTGCGTGTTTGTGCCATTCCCACGTCTCTGCAGCGCTTATGTCTCGTGCAATGAGTACAAAAAAGGTATCAAATAAGATCATGAAAAACACCCAAAATGCAATGCAAAGGCTTTCATGGGAAAATCCAAACAGAAAACGCCCTGATGAGATTCATCGATCCTGGAGATTTCGTCTCCCTGCCTGGGGAGAGGGCAAGGATACCACGACGGCAGTAAATCTGCCCCGGAGGACATGTTACGTGGTGAAGGCAGGCCGTCGACGTCTGGGTCAAAACGCAAGGGAATGATGATCTGTATCATCCGCGCTTCTTGCCGTCGAGATCCATTTTGTCTATCGCGGTCGCCGCTGCTGACGAGGAATTGTTCGTCTCGACTGGTTTCTGGACGACAGTCCAGCTCGCCAGCGAGCGGGGACTGCAAGACAGGTGGAGAAGCGCCAGCCAGAAGCAGAGCGCATTGATGAGGTAGTGCATGCGGTATGCATATGTGACGCCATAGATGGCGGCGTACAATGCGAGCGCGAAGGTGAAGAGATTCGTGAGGACGCGGACCCTGGGAGGCGATGACTCGTCAGCAATTTGATGCGGGAATGCGAGAGGATAATCGATACGTACCGGCCGTTGATCCGAGGGATCATATCTCCAGAGGCCATGATCTCGACTAGCGCGATGTATCCCACCACCGCGAGTAAATTGTCGTGGACGGGAAAGGGCGTCAACCAGTGCACAGCAAGGTTGTGGAACCAGACTATGAGGACGGGCATGTTGCCTGGTAAGATCCAGAGCATCAGCACGAGCAGAGAGTGGGCGTAGTTGTAAAAGTTCTGCGCGGCTTGCGGACTTGTTGTGACGGTCGCAGAGTTGACGTTCGGTGAAGGGGTAGTCGTCGGAGAGGTTGAGGATGAGCTGGACGAGGAATCGAGTGCGATGATTAAAGCTCGAATGCAGGTGATTATTTGCGCAATGCAGAGAAGGAGGTATGCAAGCTGATATGGTATGACGGTCACGACCATCAGGACAAGAAGACCAGCAGTGACAAGACGATAATTATATGAGTTACCGGCCGCGGGAGGTCTACTATGATTGAGGTTAGCAGTGACATGGGACAATACTCGTTGGTCACACTTACACAGTTGTCGATGCGGCCATGCGAATGAGGTTCCGAGCGCGAGTGATGATGAAGACCAGTATGTGAATAACGAGCAGGATTAAGTAATTGGCGGCGATGCATATCCCAACGCTGATGATGGCAAATAGCGGCACGAGAAACCAAAAGAATGGATCCGGCGTGCCCAACATCAGGTCGTTGATGGTGAAGTCGGGGTTGAGCTCATTGCCATCCTCTAATCCGCCAAACAATTGTCGGGACCACACGCTGCGACTAGACTTTGACACAGCGACGCCGAAGAATGTCAGAGCGATGAAGATAGCGGGCAAGGAGGTGCGAATACACTGATCCATGCTTTGGGTGAAGCTCATGAAGACACCCGTAGAATCGTAAACACTGAATTGCTTTCGAAGCACCAGCGCGATGACTAAAAGAGGGAACGCGGCGAAAATTGTGCGGTATCGCATGACAAGTTTACCAGCGCTGCCCAACACATCGACTTTGAGGGTGACAGTCACTGTGGAATTGCAGGTAGGATCTGTCCACAACTGAAGAGACAGCCCTTCCGTAGCGCCACCACCCTGCAGTGGAGGTGGCATATACGGGGAGAGACCGTGCACATTGATGTTGCCGCCTTTGGTGTTGACGAAATACTTCGATTCGTAGGGCTCGGCAATGTATTGTCGGACGAGTGGAGCAAAGCTTTCGACGCTCTGGTCGCACATGCGGCGATCGAGGGTCATTCGATAAGCGAACAGAGTGGAATGGATCTCAGGAATCTTGATCTCGGTCATCAATGGTCTATTCGAGGGCAGCTCTACCTCCAGTCCGTGAAGGAGTAATTCGTGGTGACCTTGATTGATGAGAACGGACGAATTGCTCTCATTGCTGAATTCCGCAAACAGCCAGCCGTTGCCTGACTCGCTTGGCGTCTCTACCACGGTAACGTAGTGATATCCTGAGATTTCGGCCAGATCGTATTGAATGTAGGAGAATGGCTGCGACTGATCGAATGAATTGTGAGAGTCGCCACGGGACGCTGGAAGTAGCGATATATCGGACGCTATGTTGGTGCAAGCCAGTTTGTCAGAGCGATCGAAGTAAGCTCCTGGCCCAGACGTGTGAGATGGACCGGCAGACCCCAGGCCATGTGCGGAGGAAGGATTGCAAAGGAATAAAGACAAAGCGCTCTCTCCTTCAGCGGTGGCCAACACCTGGTCGGTGAGCAAGGTAAACTTTGCTCCCTGGCCGAGAGATTGCACGTGAGGGATGGGCATGACGTGTGCTCGATGATTGCCGCTATCACTCAACGGTCTAAAGACCAGTCGCTCTCCCTCGGCTAGCACGGTGGCATGATCGTGCTCCAAAGTCAATTGCATCGAGGGAGCAAGATGGATAGCTGTTTTTGCGACTACAGGCTCCATGCCTGTGAGAAGTCGTTTGCGGAGTGCTTGTATCCTCTCGGGACGTGCTCGTGTCTGCGTAGGTCTCCTCGCATCGATTACATCAAAGATTGCCCTGACCAGAGCTTTTCGCACCTGGTCGCACCACATGATAGCCAGGTGATCCGCCGCAGTCCAGACGTTGGGAATGCTGGACGTGAATACCGTAAAGCCATGGGTATCTGGCACCAACGAAGTCAAGCTCGTATATTCGGAGGGAATCATTGTGTCCAGGCCTCCGCCCGCAACCGACACGAGTGTGACATCGTCCAGAGAATTTCTACGCGACTTTGAGAGAAAGGAGTTTCGCCAAAATGCGTTGATCCGGTTATATGCCGATACCATTGCCGGGTCGAAGGATATTGGAGGGCGGGCATGAGGTGCTGAAAGCGTGAGGATGGTGTTGATTGTGTTCTCTTGATAATTCGGCATGCTGGGCATCGCCCGAGCCACGGCACCTCCCATGGAATGACCGATGATGATGACAGATTTGGGGTTGGGAAGTCCGGATTCTCGATCTGATCGCTGCGGATTGTGATAAAGCGCCAGGATGTATGCGACCGCTTCATTCAAGTATTCCGCCTGGTCAAGCAAAGTCTGCCCATGGAAAGCCACCAGCTCCTCATTGAAATCCACCGTGAAGACATCCAGCGGGCGTTTCCCGTCTGCAATGGCGTTTGCATCCATACGTAGCACATCATGGAAGTAGCGTGCAGCTTCAGCAGCGATCGGTCGGATTTGTTTATAGCTGCCAGCATTCCCAGGGATGAACAGAACCGGAATTCCCTTTACTCTGGTGTCTTCGTCTACTCCTCCCTCTCGGTACATGTATAGCGAGTATTTACTGGCGAAGCGGGTGTGCTCGGTGTCAAAGTCTGAGAATCGCGCGAACATAGGCATCATGTATGACATTGCGCAACCTTTCGGATCTTGCTGCATGTGGAGAAACGAATTGACGATGGTGAGCAGCAGAACAATAGCACTGATACTCGTGGCTAGTGTCAAAAGAGAGCACCTCCATGGATTTTGCAATCGCGTTGTTGGTTGGCGAACATGGTCGGGCATTGTATCTGTAAAGCTTTTTGACTTGGTGATGTTCGAAGGCGAGCGCTCCTCCGATGCAGAGTCTCGGAGACCGTTTCGCGCCATGGACGTGGTGACCTGGACGGATCCAGTCGACGTGACCGTGGCATCTCGACTTGACTTTCGCTCCTGCATCTGAAATGATCGCCGTAGAGTGCGGCCGGTGTCTCTTGATGTCACCTCCCCATTTCGGTCCATCTCTTCTGTGCTTGCGGCAGGCACGGATCTAGGGCCATCCTCATCTTCTCCCGAGACGGAAGGACGTCTCCTCATTGAGCCACCGAAGTTGAAGGTGCTTTCATTGGATGTACAATGCTATTGTTGCGAGTCGATTGAGCGCACTGCTGCAGCAAGCGACGCGCGAGAGCCGGCTGGAAGGTCTGTCGCGCGAGTCGGGAGATTTGACGTATATGGCGGCTGACGGTGCGACAGATGGTGTTGGCGTAGTAGCGAAGAGCAAGGACAACAAGATACGATTCCTTGTGCGCAAACAACAATGAATGTCTCGAGCTTCACAGTCCAGGTGAAGTTCAGCCTCGATGCATCAAGAACATTACAGTAATTGATTGGTCGATGGGAATGTGACAAGGCTGGCTGATTGTGTGGAGTGTGGAGATTCTAGTGGCTCGTCAATGGTCAGGTAGGGTGGGAAGAAGCTCATTTCTGTAGTGGAAAAGCGCAGAGAAGCTGCGGCACGCCGGGATCGTTCTTCTGCTAACGCGGAGGCGGAACCGGAGACGCACCGGGATGGCGGAGGTGGAATGAAGTAATTAATGCCCGCCGCCCATCATTCACATCATCGACGGCTGTCCTCGGCTACTCTTGTCATCTTCTCTTGTTCGCGTGTTCGCATGTGTCCCTCAATTCGGCGCCAGCGCCGGCGCGAGAGAACCGTTGTCATCCCCCAGCCTCTTCTACAGTGCAGTGGAATAAACCAACACCAATGGGCACCTGCAGCTCTAGTCCAAAAAAAAATTGCAGACGTTCGTTACGCTGCAGACTCCCGACTCTGCACTACCCAATGCTGAATGAACTACTATACATTAGGTACCGTACCTACATGCATAATGTCTGCCCGCGTCACTCTTCCTCCCTGCATTTCCACTCTGGTGTACAAACAGTGTGGTGTAATTAGGTTGCCAAAAATCAATGCCCGTCACTACCTAGGTATTTATCGAATGATTCCCACCGATCGAGATCTGAGAATATCATAACAATCCCAAGGGGCTGCACTGGCCGGATTACCTACACACCTTCCGTCGGAGTTTATCAGTGCAGCGGAACAAATCCGGGGCCAACTTTTGTTGACTTCCCAAGCCAATTCTTGCGGGGCAACGCTCGCCTGCAAGTGTGTTCGTATCTGCAGGTGGCTACCGTATTGCGCGCATGAAGTGCTTTCTTCCTCTTCGCGCTCGTATTTGCCTTGGCGACTGTCGCAGGTTGGCGATACTGGTGTACAATTCCGATCATCATCATCAGCATATATGTATTCTATGACTGAACCCGCTGCGACTGGACTTTCTCGAGCTGGAAGCAAATGATGAAATTGCGATCCACGGGCGGAGCGGCTCCTCAAATTGGCCCGTGTGAAGCCCCGACAAATCACCTATGTCATTGGCCCACAGCCCGAGACTGCCTACGAGTTCGGGTCGGCTTACCTCTTCTTATCACAGCCCTCTCGCAGCATCTCCCATGCACACCCTGTATTGACATAGAAAATCGGCATCTCTTTTCATCCAACCACGGGTCCCACCGTGACTTGCGATTGCCGCTGACGCTCCTTCCATTGATCTTTCTTATCCACAAGACGCTGAGTCTTCCTTTTCTGTCCTTCGATACGAGTGAAGCGTCCTCGCGCACCATGCTTCAGCTTAGTGATCCAATCGCCAGCCTTGCCTTTATTGATCGCAGCAGGAGCCAGCTGATCATCATCGTCCCGAAATTTGTTCAAAAATTGAAGCTGTCCGGGAGATGCGGGTCCACGCCGCCACGGCGCATTCTTGTTGATAAACTCGAACGGGAACATCTCCGAGGCGAATTTGTCGGCTGCGCGGACACCATTTTCAAATGTCTGCGCTGTCGCAACTTGCTGTGGCCGTGCAAAAGGTGCCTTGGCCGCCATTTCGTGGGGAAGTTTCCGCGTGAAAATGACCTTGTACTCGTCGCCATCTCCCTTCAACGTTAGGTAGTCCCCATTACGGCTTGAGAGCATGTACTTGCTCTCATCAATCTGCACCCATGCGAATGCCGATAGAGCGCGAATATGTCGTTCGCCGGAAGTGTCTTCGATGAGGTCCGTGACGCTATCATAGTCGGTAAAGACAACCTCTCCTGTGAGCTGTCGACGACTGTTGTCAGATGCTTTGGTCGTAGCAAACGCATGTGCTTCGCGCTCTTGCTCCAGTTCTCGTCTCTCGCGGATATCTTTGATTTGTTTGAAGTCTGCATTGTCAATGATCTCTTGTGGATCGAGGCCGAACAAGGTCGGCGTGGTGACCACGCCGGTGGCCAAGGAAGCGACCATATCAATGACGTGGCAATTCTCCTTGCCGGAAGATAAACGTAGGCCCCGCCCAATCATCTGCACAAGTAAGTTGCGTGACTGCGTTGGTCGTGCCAAAAGGACACAATCAACGTTCGGGATGTCTGTTCCTTCGGTGAAGATGCCGCAATTGACAAGCACAGGATATTCACCCTTTTTGAATGACTCGAGCCTTTCCGCGCGAACCTTTGCCGGCGTATCACTCGTCACGAAGCGAGCGTTGACGCCGTGTTGGCGGAACTCCGCATTAATGCTTGCCACATGATCAAGGTCGACACAGAAGACTAGAGTCGACTTACGATGGGACGCCCGCTCCAGCCACGTCCTGATGGTGAGGAGATTCGTTTCAGGAGTATTCACAGCCTTCGCAAGGGCGGCAGTCTGGAAGTCGCCATTTGAAGTCTTCACTCCAGACAAATTTACATTGGATTGGACGGTCGTGAAGATTGCTTTGGAAAGCCAGCCATCGTCAATCATGTCCACGTAGTCCTTGTGATACACTATGTGATCGATGGCAGTGCCGAGCTTGAGACCATCGAACCGGGAGAAGGTTGCAGAAACCCCAACCAGGGCGGTATCACCACGCGGGTCTTCGCCGAGGAGTTTGAAATGCTTCAGGACATCCAAATAACGCGGTGCTACGATGTGATGGGCTTCATCGACCATGACCAACTTGAAAGTCTTTGGATCATATCGCAGGATGCGGTCGCCGGACACAATGCTTTGCACGGAAGCGACCGTAATGTCGGCACATCCGGTAGCATGTTGGTTACCCATTTCGATCTCCACGGTTTTGTCGGCATAAAGGTTCTGGCAATGGCGAGCTGCTTGTTCGACGAGCTCCCTGCGGTGCGCAAGAATCAAAGTGCGCGTCGCATGCTGTGTCGGCGGCTGCACGCGATCGATGAGATGGCTGAAGATGACCTGGGATGCATGTCAGAGATGCTGCGAATTCGGATTAAACAGGCTCGACCCCACTGACCGTCTTACCACTTCCGGTGGCCAAAGATATTCCCAACCTCTTCTCGCCTTTCTTGAGATAGCTGAGAACTGCAGATATGCTTTCCTCTTGATAGGGTCTCAAGGCGATCTTTGGCATCCCAGCGCAGCGGAGAGGCGCATGGGAAAGCCATCGTACCGTCAGAAGCGACGTGGATACGCGCTGCGATTCACTGCACAATGATGGTTTTAGCCTGCATCCAGATCTAGATATAACATGACCGCGTTGCATCTGAATTATGCTGCGATGCCAGTGGAACTGAGAAGAGTAGTGTGCGATCCGGGTCGGGTGACAAACGTGTGGACAAAGGCTGGTGCGCTACTTGACGCATGCTGTGTCCTGAACTCCGCGTCTCATCTAACGTCAAACACCAGAGCGCGGTCCACCCCACGGCGTGGTCCACGAATTACGTGTCCATAACAACAACAACTTCAACACGCGATGGCACCATCAAAACGCGTCCAAAAGAGCTCAAACGAAGGGAGTGTACTGCTTGCAATATCAGCTTTCAGATCAGGTGACATAGGATCTGTAAATGCTGCTGCAAAAACCTACGGTGTCTCAAAATCAACGCTGCTTCGGAGATTGAAAGGAAGTCCTGCTCGAGAGGACTATATGCCACAGAATAGCAATCTCACTCCAATCGAGGAGGAGATCCTTCTTAATAGCATACTGAAGCAGGATGCCGAAGGGCTGTCGCCTACGCTTGATATTATACGATCTATGGCCAACTCTATATGCAAAGCCAGGGGAAAACCTGATGTTGGCCGGCATTGGCCTAGCAGGTTCATTTCACGCAATCCATCGCTTATAGTACGGACTGGCAGGACCTATGAATGTCAGAGAAAGCTCTGTGAAACTCCGGCAGTGATTCAGGCTTGGTTTGAGCTTGTAAAGAACACTATCAACAAGCATGGTATCTTACCAGAAGACATGTACAACTTTGATGAAACAGGCTTTCAATTAGGCCAGATCTCAACCTCCAGAGTTGTTACATCGTCGGACAGGACTGGCAGACCAAAGCAGATAAAGCCCTCAAATACCGAATGGGTCACAGTCATCCAAGGAGCGTGTGCAGATGGTTCAGCTATACCACCACTTCTTATCTTTAAAGGCAAGACTATCAACTATTCATGGCTCGGAGAAGACTTTCCGCAGACATGGATGTTTGCAGCAAGCTCTCAAGGCTGGACAAATGACGAGATTGGACTGCAATGGATCCAGCACTTTGAGTATCATACAAGAATGAAGACTGTTAGCAGCAAAAGATTGTTGATTCTAGACAATCATGGGAGCCATACTACAACAGAGTTTACCTCTTTCTGCATGGATCATAACATTGTGCTTCTCTGGATGCCTCCACATTCATCTCATATGCTCCAGCCTCTTGATGTTGCCTGCTTTGGTCCTTTAAAGCAGGCCTTCTCAAAACAGAATCAGAACTTGATCCGCAACCATATCTTCCATATCAACAAGAGCACCTTCATGGATGCATTCAAAGCTGCATACTTTGAATCAATCACACCTCAGAACATCCAGGCAGGGTTTAGAGCCTCTGGCCTACATCCGTTTAACCCTGAGGCTGTGTTATCAAAGCTTGATCCATCATTTTCATCTCCAGACAGGCCCGCCTCACATAGCTCCTGGTATGCAAAGACCCCAAAGACTACTCAAGAAGTCGATCAACAGGCTACATTGATCAAGAAGAGGCTAGAAAGGCACCAAAGTAGCTCTCCATCACCTATTTTTGAGGCATTAAACCAGCTTTCTAAAGGAGCCCAAGAAATGGCTGCTTCTGCTGCTCTACTTCAGTCTCAGGTTTTTGCTTTACAAGATGCTAACAAAGCAATGCATGAACGCAAATCCAGGAAGAGGAAAGCAATCACATTAGATCCTGCCCTGTCAGCCTCTCAGATCCAAGGGATAGTTGAGCAAGAGGAGGTTGAAGCACAAATAAGGGAGCAGATGCCAAGGGCTCCAAAGCGTGCTAGTCGGTGTAGCAAGTGTGGTTCCTTTGCTCACACCTTCAAACACTGTACAGTAGATTGAATAGTATTGTTATATAACACATTTAAGTCTCAAAGCAATCTATTAAGTATTGGTTGAGATAATCAGTGTTAAAGGTGGTAGACACGTAATTCGTGGACCACGCCGTGGGGTGGACCGCGCTCTGGTGTTTGACGTTAATAATTTGTGCATTCACCTAAACCCTAACGCAACCTTGCACCTGGGCACCTGCGAAAAGTAATCTTTTCACGATGCGACCATATTCAAACTTTTCGCCGTGTCATGCTGAGGCAGTTGAACATGAAGATCATCGCACTCGAGCGCTGTAATGGAAATCGATGATGTAGAGGGATTTAGCGAAAGTGGCGACGTGCGGACGACGGACTCGAGCCTAGCTGGCAGCGAACACGATGGGCAGGAAAATGAAGCTTTGCCGTCAGTTTCCCAACAGACGAGTCAACAACCACGACGGCAGTCACGCCCAGAACTCTTTACTTCTTGGTGCACGGCGGGCCCAAAAATACACCCGAAGTTCTTCCTGACGAATGCGTACCGAGACCTGTTCAACGAAAGCATCGCATCGGCGCTTGGTGACGACGTCCCGGACAATGACCTGGAGGACTCCATGATAGGGTATTCGTGCTGGAGTTCTGTTGAGAAAGACGCACTATTTACTCGCTTGGCACGGTCCGGTGTCGGCGATTTGCGCGCTCTTTCGAAGGCAGTGGGTACGAAGAGCGAAAGTGAAGTCTTCGTGTATTTGAAATTGCTAGGAGAACAAAGTTTTGGTCAAAACGAGGACGCACAAGCAAAGCGACTCAATGAGGAGCGGACAAATGCAGCCTGGGAAATTTCGCAGGACTGTGAGGATGCCTTGAACGCAGCTGCTGATTCGCTTGCGCAGCATATCAGCAAGCATGAGACGATAACCGAACAGAGCCTTCATGGTGATACGTGGTTAATTACGGCAGACAATGCCGATGCCATCGATCAGAGATATGAAGACCTCGCAATGCTTCCATCTCCGAGGGGAGAAGATACGATTAGCGAGGAGACGAACACCAAAGCACCTGCAACAGACGGTGAACACGGCGATGCCGAAACACAACCAATATCACCAGCCGACGACTTGTTGCGGTCTTCTGCTTTTCTTCATCTTGCCCGCACGCTTTTCATGAACAGCGCGACTGCAGATTCCTGGCACAACTTAGACGGTGTGATTGGACCTTCTCAAGAGCCAGCCATGTTCCGCACCGCTCTTGAGGATTTCTTCGACCTTACCGTCAGCTTGACGCGGCGGCTGTGTCTCACGGCATTGACACAAGCTTCCACACGTCTGAGGTCCTACGCGGCGCAATCCCCTGTTCCTGCGGTCAATGCAGAGGACGTTCGTACGGCGTGCGACATACTGAATGTCCGTCGCGATCGTTCTCAATATTGGGCGGGCGTCCCGAGGAGGTGTAAGGTCAATCTCTACTCGAATTCTGAACTCTATAACGATGGCCGAAATTCGTTCTACCCCCCCGGTGCCCATCGCCCTGTACGTTTCATCTCATACGAAGAAGCGGAGAAGGAGCTCAGCCTCGAGGGTCGCGCCAGGGTGAATAGTGGAGAAAGCTCCGAGGAAGAGATCGACGACGATGAATTGGATGCAGCTATGATGGATGATGAACTTCATACGGATGTCTCAATGACTTCAGATGAAGGGGATGGAGGCGATTCAAATGCCAACAGTGATGCATTAAATATCCGGGAACGAAAACGATGGCAAACACAACCCATGTCCCAGCGGAGATTTCTGAAGATCGAGGAAGACATCCTGAATATGGAGGACTTGCACTCAAGTCGAGAGGAAGTTGATCGACTCTGGAGATTATTGCGCCTGCAGCCGTCAACATCACCTCATGCAAACATTTCCTTCGTCCGGAAAGCCTTTCCCGCTCCACCTCACGAGATCGAGCTACAATCCACGCAGTGGCGACAAAAGATAGACTGGTTGGCTCCCTGGGAGAGCGAGAATGGCTCGCCCGCAGCTCAACGGTTTCGGGAGACCTGGCAGCGAGGCCGACCGAATCGCAAGCGTCGAGAGGCATTGAAGAAAAGGCTCCAGGAACGTGCCATTTCGGCAGCGCTGAGCAATGCACAAGCTCCGCTGAACGACATGAATACTGTCAGTGACGGAGACTCGTCAGATCACTCGCATAACCTAGATGAAACGCCGGCGCGGCATGGTTAAGGCTGGAAGCAATCGCGAATTTAGCAAATTGAAGCACTCGACGCTTGTCCCAGCACCTGGACACGACCAATTATGTTTCCGATGCAATCCAGACACGAGATGAGAAAAACGTACGGTTCTGACCAGTGAATTACGCTCAAACAATAATTCGTCGTGGCGTCTGTGCCGTTGTACTTTGCCATGGATGCAGTGGCGGCGAAATGACCAAAGATTCCTCTGTTGGGGCTGACAAGTTTAATTATGAGATCCTGGTATTGAGGTTCGCCACGGAGCTTGATCGTCACGCTAACCTGCTCGAGAAGATTAACACCGCAAAGTCCGGAATCAATTCCCACGAGCCCGTACCCCTGAGACGGCGTAAGGAGAGAACGAATGACGAATGGCGCGCAGCGATGTATCGATACCGTCTCCCACGACTGCTACGGCAATACCGTTCACTCCGATACCTTGTGCCCACAGATTAGAGGCGTTGGTGGTGTGTTCGGGCTGGGTCGGATTTTGAAGATACCGGGGTAGCCTCGAGCTCACAAAGAAAGGCCGAGTGGAGTTTGCGCTTGCTCCAAGAGTTTAAAAAATCCATAGGAGAAGTGATCTGGTAAATGAAGAAGGCATGATGTGCCCAATTCATCACACGACCTTGCGATAAGGCGTAATGGAACAAGTGCCTCACGACAATGAAATCGGGGACCGACAGGTCGGACAGTGGTTCTTCATTCAATCATCACCGTATGTGCTTGCGATGTGTTGTTTCTCCATCGTGTTATTGCACAGCGGTCCGCTTGTCTTGTTTCCCTTCGGCGACGACATCCTTGGCGCATCGAAATCAGGGCGAGAAGTTCATGTCTCCCGTGTCGCGGCGTGCTTGTATTTTGGCGAATGTGACCTTGGTGTTGAGAGGCCAAGTCCGCGAGCGCCATCCTTATACCAGCGTAAAAACACAGAGCTCTGCGTGTGTACGGGCTTTTGCTTTGAGCTGACCGTAAGATGAAAAGCCTGGAGATCCAGCTAATGATCATGATCACACGCGGTGATAATGTGGTTTGGATGTTAGCCTCAGGCACCCCCAGGCAAGTCAGGGCGGCGCCGTGTGGGCGCTTCCTTCGTTTATGTACCTACCTGTATGCGACTCCTTAGTGCTCTGGCATCTAAATGCTGTGAGACTTTTGATATCAAAGCTGGATCCCCTACGTGCACGCATCGTATTGAGATATGCAGATGAATGCTTCGACTTGGTCAGCTTACTAATTGTTCAACCGACGTGACCGGCGAGCGCGCCAAGCGAGAGTCTGGATCGGCTCGTCGACGCCGCCTACACGTCCATCTGCCAGGACCGGATTAATATGTTCGACCAAGCATGTATTAATAGCTTCCTCCAGCGGCTACGTGCCTCGGACCGGCCGTTGATGATCAAGCTGCAGAGGACGACCTTCCGCAAGTACCAGGTCGTCTGGAAAAGCCTCCCCTGCTTTGTCGCACGCGCGGCGGATCCCTGCCAGACGATCCGGCTACGTCAAGAGAGCCACAGATTAGCCCATAGTAGGGTAGGCGCGGCAGCGGTGGGCTCGAAACTTCCTTTCAGAGTTATTTCATAATAGCAATCCGGGATCATATTTGGGACAAGTATATGACAGCGACTAATTCATCTCGTCTATTGGACATTAATTCGTAAAGACAAAATCATACGCTGTTTCGGCGTTGGGTTTATAGATGTAGTATGTAGTGCGGCGGATGATGAGGAGCGTGAAGGTCGTAGTCAAACTCGGTTTTCGGGAATTCATCAAGCGACGACGACGTAAGTGCAACGTGTTCTTGTCCGATAGATCATTTCCAATCGCCTGCGTTTTTCGCCTGGACACACAATTGAGACCGCATCTTGGGCGATGTTGCGCATGGTCTGCGCATGATGAAACACGCTTCTGCTGACTTGGCTAAATCCTCATAGACGACTTTGCGGCGCAACACTGAGCAACTCTGCTTCCAAGGATTTCGCTTGTGCACAGCATCTCGAGATGCCCTCAATGACACCGCAGACGAGATGCGCTCTCGCCGCGCGCAGGAGATCAGATTGTTCGAAAATCGTCTCGATTTTATGGTGCTCCGATAGCATCGCGATGCACACCCGTCCATGGAGGTCTTCCTGACGAGTGTAAGGAGGTGAGGTTGGAGCGCACTCGGCCCAGCCAGCCAGCCAACCAACCAGCCGCGGCCGGGTCGGCCCAGGCTTGTTTCGGTGGGGGCATCTCATGATGATGGGCGGGCTTTCTTCGCCCCCGGGCGACAAACAACACCTGCAACGTCGATGAGATGATGTGATATTATCACACAAACCATGTGTGTCATTCTAGCCAAGGGATAACTTCGTACACTCGACACCAAAAACCCGTCGTGTCTATTTGACTGGCATTTCGTGCGTGGTCTCGCTGACACATGTGGTCCACACTGGAAGGAAAGCTGTTGGAGCGGTAGATGAAATCTTGCACTCCATTCGAGGGCCTCAGTCATAGACTTTGGCTACAGTAGAAACACGAATAGCACTTGAGGAAGAGAAATTGCCATGCATAACTCATGCAAATCCATACTGTTTCCTAAGCCTTTCCTAAGCCTTCTCCAACCCTTCCACAACCCTTGCTACCATCAAATTCCCATTCCTTCTCTCAAGTTAAGCAGCTCTCCTCCCCCTCCCGCCCGCACCTGGAACCCGTATCGCCCCTTCCATGGTAGGCGTCGGTAAAGATGGAGCGGTCGCTTCTTGGACCTCGAGGGTGCGGGCATGCTTGCCTGCACTGGTGGTCGGAGGGTTGACTTTGTTGCCGAGATCATTGAATTTATCGCCGAGGTCGTTTAGACCTTTCCACGGAATCTTTCCTAACCTGAAGGCGTTGAGAGCGGCACCGGCACCGGTTGGGAGCGTCGCGGCGGTCGCCATAATGTCGTAGGTTTGGTAGGCGGCGTTGAAAATCTGGTCTTGTTGCTCCGGGGTGATGTGGTGGCCGCAGGCTTTGTTAGCGAGCCATTTGCCGAAGAAATTGCGGCCCTTTTCGAGGTCCGTGGTAGCTTTTTTAAACATGACGGCGCCTTTAATGACGTGCTGTTGGGTTGAGTCGAATTTGCCGACCTTCTTGGCTTGTTTCATCGCAGTCTCGACGTTGTTAATGACGGTGTTGCCGGCGTAATCGAGGAGACCGGTGAGTGCGGAAGTGAATACGGTACATGCGATATCGCCGATAGCTGGTAGAGCGTCGACAAAGTCCTTGACAATCTCGTCGAGGAACGCAACGTCGCAATTGCAGGGTAGGATCTAGGTTAGCTCGATATCTTTGCCATTGGCATCTTTGAAGCAAGTCAGCAGCCCTCACACCATACAGTAGGGACCACCACGAGATGGAAGTAACGGGGAGCACACACCTTTTTTTATTCAAACGGCGGTTTGGTCCAACCGCCAGCATAGCCACAAACCGCGCTATGGATATTATCACGATCGTTGTAGTGTGGGCACTGTTTTATACACTCCTGCATGTATTCATCTTGATTCGCGTACATCCAACCACCTTCTTTGGTGTTGGGCACCTCCCGGATGTGACACCATTTCCGATTCGGATCGTTATTCTGCTTTCGGGCATTCGCCTCCACATTGTTGCTTGGGTCGTACGCCTCAACGGTGACACTAAGAGCGGCGAGACTGAGGAGCAAGACGCTCACAAGGACCTGCCCTGTTCCACGCATGATTAAAGAGATTTCCTGTTGGCCGTGATGGTCGTTAAGGAAGAAGGAAAAAGCTGTGAGTGAGTATCGTGTAGGCCGAATTAAACTTTCGATTTCGTCGATGTCCCAAGAACAGAGAACCTCATCCAACCTGGATATCGAAGAGCCTTAAAAGAACTTTGTTCTCGTCAGATTGACCATACGGCAGACTTGACGAAACCCCAATCGTCCCAAAACCAGGCCCGGCAGCAACGACTCATTTCCTCCATCAGCGGCCGTCGAAGATGCCACCGCTCCTGTGGGAATACGGCGGCTGTTGTGAAGTGTGAAAATGGTGGTCACCAAAAAATCTCTATGAAACCCATCAAGCGACAACGACGTAAGTCTTATCATGTCCTTGCTGGTAGGTCACCTCTCCACGTGGCCTACATCCTTTGTTTCGAGCCCATCTCGTGCGACGTTGCGTAAGCCTGCGCAGGATGAAACGCGCCTTGAATTGTGGCTTGCTTGGACGCTGTTCAGTGCGACCTTCACGACACAAACTCGAGCGAGCACTCCACTGCTATACTCGCACACCTCATTTTGCGAGTCGAATTTCGGGGTTAGGTCCATGGGGCATGCCACATCTGCTCTCTCTTACGTCATGAACGATTACATGATGATAAAAGCCGTAGATAAAATCCAGAATGACGAACGCTTCAATCTGTAAAGATTGCATCAGATCTGCACGTGGCAGTAGCCCGCCAGCGGAGGTGAAGGTGAAGTGCACTCGGCCCAGCCAGCAGCCCGGATCGGCCCCAGGATTCGTAGTGGTAGTAGTGACCCCGCCGCCCTCTCCTAAATTGTCTACTCGCGTTAGCCCTGAGTCGGTATTATAACCGTGCCGGCTCCTCTATACGGCGGTAAGGACTTGATTCAATTACCAACTACTCTAAGGCCTATACTACTAAGTTGTCTACCTACTAAGGCCTATTAGACCTCGGCCTAAGGCTAGCTTAGTTATTAAGCTGCCTTAGGTAACGCGGGGAACCCCAACGCGGTCCATACCCCAACGCGGTCCAAGGCATCAAAGAGCATGACATTCAACAATGGATTGCTCTGCCAATTATCGTCGAAATACCTTCAAATTGAAAAAGATGATAGATCAATACTAGTTCTTATAATACACAGGTTCTTGCGTTATGGTCTGGACAGCCACACTTGCTACACTTTCTAATACGCTTTACAGGCCTCGGCATCTCCTCCTGAATTTGTGCTTCTACCTCCTCTTGTTCAACAACGTACTACATTTCAGGAAAGGACAAGGCATTCTCTGTAGTGAATGCCTTCCTCTTCCTTGATTTGCGTATATGCATAGCCTTGTTTGCTTCTTCTAAGGCCACAACACGCGATTGAAGGATCGCAGCTGAAGTAGCCATTATCTGGGCTCCCTTGGTCAGCTGATCAAGCGCTTCATATATAGGCGTTAGAGAACTGCTTTGATGCCTCTCAAGCCTTTGTTTAATCAGTGTCGCTTGTTTATCAACCTCCTGTGTAGTCTTAGGGGTCTTAGTACCCTATGAGCCTGGTGAACTTGGCCGGAGAGGAGATTGAAATACTGGATCCAGCGTAGATAAAACAGTCTCAGGGTTGAATGGATGGAGGCCAGAGCCTCTGAAGCCAGCCTGGATGTTGTCTGACGTAATTGCATCAAAGTACGCAGCCTGGAAGGTCGCCATAAACGTGCCCTTGTCGACGTGAAAGATATGGTTGCGAATCAAGCTCTGTGTCCGCTTTGAGAAGGCCTGCTTTAATGGACCAAAACAACCAACATCAAGAGGCTGAAGTATATGAGAGGTGTGTGGCGGCATCTATAGGAGGATGATGTTGTTCTCCTTACAGAACAAAGTGAACTCTGGCGTAGTATGGCTTCCATGGTTGTCAAGAATCAGCAGCCTCTTGCTGCCAACTGTCTTTGACTTTGTGTGCTTATCGAAGTGCTGGATCCACTGTAGACCAATCCGATCATTTGTCCAGCCTGTTAGGCTTGTATTAAACACCCAGGATGATGGTATATTAGCACAGAACCAGGCATGGTTCAGTTCTTTCCCTTTGAAGATCATAAATAGTGGTATAGTCGAGCCATCTGCACAGCCCCCCTGGATCAAGGTGACCCATTCTGTTCCCGAAGGCTTTATCTGTTTTGGCCGGCCCTGCTTCTCAATTGAAGTAACTACCTTAGAAGCAGAGATCTGTCCTAATTGGAAGCCGGTCTTATCGAAGTTGTACACGTCTTGGTGTAAGACGCCATACTTGTTGATTGTATTTCGGACAAGGGCAAACCAGGCTTCAATAACTTCCGGCGTCTCGTAGAGCCTTCTCTGACACTTATAGGTCCTTCCAAGCTTGATTGTAAGGGTAGGAGAGCGTTTAATAAACTTCCTTGTCCAGTTCTAGCCGACTGCTGCAACACCATTGGCTTTGTATATACTGTTTGCTATTGCTTCAATTAGGGCGATTATAGGCGATAATCCTTGTAAATCCAGCTGAAGAATGTCTTGAATAAGGACACTCTCTTCAATAGGACTGAGCTTCAGAGTCCCTAGCTTCCAATCTTCTCGAGAAGGGATTCCCTTGAGTCTCCGGAGCAACGTTGTTTTTGAGACCTTATAGTCTCTCGCTGCCGCTGCTACGGAGCGGCTGGCACCTGATCTGACAGCTGACATCGCAAGCAATAGACTCCCCTCTTTTAGGGACGATTGCACGCGTTTTGGTGTAGCTATTACGTGTTGAAGTTGACGCATTGTTGTGTTCAAAATTGTGGACCGCGTTGGGGTATAGACCGCGTTGGGGTTCCCCGCGTTAGGAGGAACGTAGTATTATGTATATCGGGATGCTTGATATAGATATACTATTATAAACAAGAATAACGTAAATGATCATCGAGCCGGCCATATCATCGAGCCGGCCACTTTTCCTTAGCATTGTAAATGAGGTGACTTCAACCAAGGTTTATTCAACCACATACTTAGTTATACATCTGCTATACTAGGATATGATTCAGAAGGAGCATCTCTATCTCGTTGGCAGGTTCGCGAGTTGTGTCCAGCTATTCCGCAGTTTCTACATCGTCGTTAAGTAGGAAGTCCTCGTTCAGAACCAGCTTCATAACGAGTCCTTTTTGGTTGTTAAGCACTCATACCTGCATCTGAGACTGCCTGCAATGCTCCAATACCATACTCTATAGATCCGCCTTGCTGGATCTGCTTCCGTTTACGCGATCTTCTCTTAGTCAATACTGCTAATTGCTCTTCAAGCTCTGTAATCCGTGCAGATTGAAGCACGTTCTGATAGAGCATCAACTCAGCACCTTTAACCAACTGTGAGAACCCTTCCTTAGCTTCGGGTAGAGATCTAAGGAAAGAGCTACTAATCAGCCGTGATTGAGATCCAAATTCATACGAATTGCTTAGTGTTCGGGACTCCCATACTGCTTCCGGTAATAGCTGTTGAGGAGGGGTGCACAAACGTAGATGTTACGATCCCGTGACACGGCACAGCAGAAGACAGAAGGGAACGACGACAGCCAGTCGTTAGAGGACAAGGACATACGGCCACGAGCGTCAAACCGTCACGTGACTAGTGCCTAAGGCAGAGAGGGTGCTCTGTGATCTGAAGGATCAAGGTGCAGAGCAGCAGAGCATCTGCTCTGTAAGATCTGAGGATCCAAGCACAGAGCAACAGAGCAACTACATATTCCCTTTGTATCTAACTTACATATATAGGTAGGACGAATGGACCTTATGTCTGTTCGTGTTGAACTCATGTTACCAACTTACCCATTGGAATACAAAGCCCCTTCTCATATCCCTGTTG